GGAATGCTCGGTGCTGATGCGTAATGGGAGAAGGGCAAACAGGAAGTCTGCATTGCATATTTTTCTTAGAATCCCAGAGGAATGACGTGAAACAGCCAGCGAGCCCACACCGAGCAATCAACTCGATCTGTTTCCTTTTATCTTTGTCTTTCTCTCTCTGACAGTCTACCCCTTTTCCATGCCTCCGACTTTCCCCATATCCACTCCTGTGCCTCCTGAGTCTCTCCCCTTGACCTTGCACATCTTCAGCCGCCTTCCTGGCCCCTGAGGTTTCCTTCCTGCCTACTCCACGTCTGAGATCATCACACCGAGTCATTTTGAGATTTCCTTTGCTGCTGCCTCAAGGTCTTCTGCCCTTCCCTCTCTCTTTCTCTCTCGCTCACTGTATGGGATCCTCGAGTGAAAGAAAGCGGTGTGTGAGTGGGCAAGGAGGGAAAGTGAGAGTGATTTGGGAGGCAGGGAAATGGCAGGTCAGAGGCACAGTGAAGGAGAATTTCAAGAGACCGAGAGTAAGTGGTGAATATTAAGGCCTGTTTTAAGTTGAAATCCAGAGGCATATTCAATGTTTTCTGGCCAGCACGGTTTGCTAACTCCCCTCTTTATTTTGAGGATATTCCATCCTTGTGGATCAGAGCTCATTCCTAAGAGATGTTTCCGACCTAGAATAGGTTCAGGGTCAATTCTCCCCAAGCTCAGTTTTCCTAAGGAATCATAGGAAATCACAGGAAAGATGTAACTTGAAGCGTTGGCACTATGCTGTTGGTGTTGCACTTCCTGTCATTTTTAAGCCAAACATTTTCACAGCTCTGAGTTAAATATCAGTTTGCAGTTCATTGCCTCCTGCTGAAATGCCAATAAAATCCAGAAGAAATCACACAGATCTGAGTCCCAAGTGAGCGCAGTGCCAGTATCCAGCCGTTCCTGTTTTACTGAACAGCAACAACAACAACATTACATTTGTACAGCGTCTTTCACGTCGGGAGCACGTCCCAAGGTGCTGGAGAAGCTCAGTGTCCCTCCCTGTTTTTATAAATATAATCCAAGATCGAAACTGCCTCAAGCTCGTGCTATTGCTCTTTCCCCCCCTCTCTTAAGCAGTGTGACACTATCCCTCTTCAACCAGTGGGTCACTGTCTGCAGCTCTTGTGGTCGAACGATTTACCATTGGTCGTGAAAAATCATGGTAGGCTGGGAGCGGCTGATTCCTGTGTCCTGCAGTAGCTACAGATCATTTAACACATCAACTGAGCATCTGAGGACCACACATTGGGACTGAGGCCCACTCGCAAACAGTGAAATGGCAACTTAGTCGTTTTTTTAATTCACAAAATCACATACGCTCCAAAACAGTGTATGGCTGAACACTGAAACGCAGACAGTATTGCACTGCGTTCGAAGCATGTCTTCTCTCCTGGGCTCGAATGGGAGAGAGCACTGTAGCGAAATCCGGATGTTAGCGACATTTGATTGGAATGTTACATGAAAGTAATAATGTTATGCAATGGTCGGTCTAATCATGTTGGGATGTTTAAATCAAGAAGACAGCAATGTACTCTTATTTATATAAAACGCTTCTCCTAAAGCAATAAACATGTGCACAATCTCTAGAATTTTCTTCGAAAGTTGTTTGAAGACGCAAATCCTCAGATCAGATCAACTTAATTGGGTGAGGACAGCCTGGGACTCTTACACAATTTGCGGAGGCAGTGGATTCTCACGGGAGTATGATATAACCACAACAAAAACAAAAGGAATAAGGAGTCAAGTACAGGAAGCTGTGAATCTCTTCAAAGATAAGAACAAGGGAATGTACAAACTGTTTTTCCCCCAAAGAAAATTGGCCAATAAACCTTCGGAATTCGAGACAGTGTCAGTCCCCAGTTGTTCTGTGCTGGGTAAGAAACGGGCCCTGATATGATCCGTTATTTTTTTCAAAAAAAACTTGTCCAATTTCACACGACGAGGAGATGCTGGTTGGATTGTGTCCGAGAATAAATCAAGATCATAAATCACGAACACTCAAATCGATTTATTATGATAATAATAATAATAATAATTAATCCTTAAATTTCACACAGCAGCTTTCGTGTCGGGAGGATGTCCCAAGGCTTTTCGCAGGCTTTTACTGTGAAGCGGGGTGACTGTGTAAATGTGGGCGAACGAATTTATCAACCTCATCTGACAGGAGGTCATTCATCCCATCGAACCGCTCCACAGTTTTTAGCAAATTGTTGCAGACGCCTCAATCCCCTGGGGAGCACATTTACCCGTGTTCAGTGTGAGGTTACGAGGCTGGTTTGATTCCATCGTTCTGAATGTTTACGGGCCCAGCTGAGGAAGAACGGTAGTTGCTGGCACATTACCTGGAGGGATCAGTTGAGTAGAAGCAGCAACTCAAGTGGGATTGGTGTCTAATTTGCTGTATTTTTTTAAAGGGATTCCTTAATAAGAACCCGCACTTTCACAAATCGAGGCTACCTTTGGTAATCAGAGTACATAATGCCGACCTGAGGGGATTTATCTTTATTCTTTAAATCCCTCCTTAAAACGTATCCCTACGGTGACGTCACCTCCCCCTCGCTCACTGTCCAAACCCCACCATTATAATAATAATAATAATAATAATAATCCTTGCATTTGCTATAGCGCTTTTCACGTCTTCTCGACGTCTCAAAGCGCTTCACAGAAGAGGCCGTAAAGTGAATTGACTGTATATTTGTGGGCGAAAGGCGGCAGCCAATTGTGCGCAGCAGCGTCCCACAAACAGTCGTGGATTGAAAATGACCAATTTATTATTGTTTTGGTTTTGGAGGGATTATTATTAGGCTCTGTGTGGAGTAAGGAAACTTGCCCAAGGTTTCGCCCTCTGCCTGGGAATGAACCCAGGTGTCTCACTTGCAAGGCGAGTGCTCTCACCACTGAGCTACAGGACTCCACAAACAAAATGCAACAAAAACAGAAGTGGCTGGGAATGCTCAGCAGGTCAGGCGGCATCTATGGAGAAAGGAAAGTGAGTCAACGTTTCGGGTCAGAACTGGGGCATGTTGGGAGGGAGAGGCTTTTAAGGGCTAACAGAAAAGGCCCAGGAAGGCAAAGGAGACAAAGACAAAGGGTAGAGGACAGAGGACAAAGAACTGTTAATGATGCAAAATAAAGGATGGGGTGGGGGGGGGGTTGTTCAGTGTTCTGAGAAGCTATCCTGTGTGAGGGCCGTTACAGAAACACAAATTGTTGGTGCTGATCTACACTTGGAAGTATTCCAAAGCAGAATCACTCCAGAATGTCAGGAAGAAATCTGTTCAGATATATTGCAAGTTAGACCCCATTGTCATTGTGTTCCTTTATTCCATCATTTTTCTTTGATCAGCCGAGTGTCTGAAACCCATCACCGTTGCTTAAGAGTATCCAAACCCAACTGAGAATTCCATGCATCCCCCTACACGTGGAAATCCCAGCGATAGATCGTTGGTATGGAACGGGCACTCTCTCCCTGGAGAGACTCATCCTCTGCTTATCTAGAAGGATTCATGCTCAATCTGTTTAATCTGCTGAGGAATGTTTTTGCGAACAGTTCTCCAAAGGTAAATCAAGTGAAGCTAGACTACCTCGTCTTATCTGCTTATCCAGCCTAGACTGTTCAGGGTTTAGTTTGCCAGTCTGCCTCAGTTGATAGCACTCTCATCTCTGAGTCAGAAGGTTGTGTTAATCAAGCTCCACGTCAGGACTTTGAGCTCAGAGTCTTTGCTGACCCTCGAGTGCAGTGCTTGGGGTGTGTTGCGATGTCGGATGAGACATTAAACCGAGGTCCCACCTGCCTGCACAGTTGGATGTTGAAGATCCCATGGCACTATTCGAAAAGAGAGGGAGTTTTTCCCAGTGTCCTGGCCAACAATCCTCCAATAAATACCCAATAATTCAAATTGGTCATTCACTTCATGGCTGTTTGTGGGACGTTGCTGTGTGCAAATTAGCTGCCTCGTTCACCCTCAAAATACACAGTCGCTTCCCTTTCAGTAATGTCCTGTGAAGCGCTTTGAGACATCCGCCTGATGTGGATGTAAAGTGCTGTTATTATTATCGGCCATTACGTTCTCTCGATTTTGAGGCTAGTTCAGTTGATATTGTGAATCGCGCCCTGTAAATAAGCCACGCAATCACTCCGTTCCGAGATCTTCTTCCGAGGAAGATGTTGCCGCTGTTGCCAGTTGCAAACCCATTCGACTGTAAAAGAGACAATTTCCTGTAGGCTGGCTCCAGCCCCCAGCCCCAGCCCCAGCTCCTGGAACTTCCTGTCAGTCATTCTGGCTGCAGATAGCATCAATACGACCATCACTGGAATGGCACTGTGTCTCACCGCTTGCTGTACCAATTTCGGCATCGTGGGACATAAACAGGAAGGAACGAGTAAAACAAAATGGGAAGAGCGCGACAATAGGAGACGAGCACTCTCTCCTATGAAGCAATTGCCCGTTAATGGCACCAGATTAAAATGCTTTTCTCGGCAATCAGAAGGCAATTCCAAGCATCCACAAACCTCATTCTCAGTTGTTTACAGCCTTTTGCACGCCAACTGAAGTCACAGGCATCCCAACGCCTGCTGGTTCAGCTTGGCATTTCCTGGAGCCCACACACTGCTTGCTTGACATTACATCGAAACCCTAGACCAGTTGTCACCTTGCACGCTGGGAAACTCTCTGGGCAACTATCCACGTATTACTTTACTCCATCCTGGAGTCCCTTCACTTCACCCTTTCACTCCCCACCTTTAAAGCCCAACTGTTCCTTCTGTCACCTTATTCCCACCCCTCACACTCTCCTCAGCCCCCTCCCGTCCCTCCCTGTAGTTCGTGCTGTGGACATCCTCCTGAACGTGAATGGATTTACATAAATCTAAATTGTTGTGGTTGGTTTCTCCGCGGTGACAATCAGTGTAATTTATCACCGGGTAAACGCTGCACACTGCTCGACTAAAGCGAATATGACTCTTTGTGTTTTGACAGCTGCCGCGCAGAGCAATAGATGTCGACTCACGAATGTTTCATCCAGCCATCCCATCACCGTGTCTGAGCTGAAGGTGGTGCAGAGAGGGGATGCGTTACAGAACTGTGTGAACTGCAGCAGTACTGCTCAAGAGACTGTCCACGTCATCCATGTGGAGTACACCAACATCTTGCCAACGGTAATCACACAGCAATATTCAGTGTTCAATTTTCAGGGCAAAGCTTTGGGTACGATTCCTCACGGCACACGCCTCTATTTACCTCGCAGTAAGTAGGAACCCGGTTGTTAGTCGAACGCAGATCTCTTTCCAGGGGTAATAATCCCATCCAAATAAATAATAATAATTTGCTCACTTCAATCCACAACTGTGTGTGGGACACTGATGTGCGTAATTGGCTGCCGTGTTTCGCCCACAAAATATACAGTCAATTCACTTTACGTCCTTTACATCGTGTATCCTGTGAAGCGCTTTGAGACGTCTCGAAGATGTGATAAAACGCTATATCAAATGCAATGAATATTATTTCTCTTTATTGTTTATGCAAAATGTTTCTTGGGTTGTTCCTCATTTTTCTTGTTGAGGATGGAGAGTGACGTGTATCGCGTACAGTTTAATAAATGCATTAACGGCCATTTCAGGGATGATATTAATAATAATCCTTGCATTCGATACAGCGCCTTATCACGTCTTCGATAAAGGGGGGAAACAGGGGCTGTTCCAGCAGAACTTTAGCTCAATGTAAAGCATTCCTTGTAAGGGTTGCAATCCCGGGATTTCAGGCAAAACATGGAACTCGGGGTTTCAATCCTGGGATTTTTGGGAATTGCTATTACCAAATGGGATCCCGGGGGAACCCTACCTCTGTGACCTCCTCAAATGTTCCCAACCCGCCCGCTCCCTCCGCTCAGCAGGCACCAGCCCATCCAACATTCAGTCTATCTTTCCCCCCTCTCTGGAACTCCATCCTGAAAAGAGGTGAGGAAGGAGGCTGAGTTAGAGTCGGAACTCCTCCTTATTCAAGGTCTATCTCAAACTGTTCTCTCCGATCACGCCTTCTGTCCCCTCCCCACTTGCCCTCACCCCACACTCTCAGCCCAAGTGCTCAGCCAGGACCGGCAAATACCTTGGGACGTCCTGCGGATGGTGCAAGGCAAATTGATATCGTATTTGTACAGCAGTCTGCGGGATATTATTCTGCACAAATTTTTGGCTGCCGCATTCGCCTCCAAATACATTCACCACACCTTACCGTACATTCTGTGGAGCGTTTTGATTTGTGGTGCTAGCGTGAAAGGCGTTGTATCAGAGGTAAGGATTAATACACAATATTTGTTGTTCCAGTCGCCATAGAGAATACATTGCTCTCAGGACTTGTGCCTGAATGCCATACTTTTTGTAATGCTGCAATCGCACTGTGTACACAAGCAAGCAGGCGAATAATTACATGTCCAGGGCATGGCTGATGTCGTAGGACTGGCAGGGACATAGCTGGCTAGCTGCCGAGCACAGCATGGCGACAGCTCTATTAAACTATTAAACTGCGATTGAAGAATAGAGGGAAATCAACTTACATAAGCACAGAGCATGAAAGCAGAAAAAAAAAACCTCTGATCAAACAGAAAACAATTGTATCTGCCAGAAACACAAGCAAAAATAGAACTGGGGGCCCAATATTTCCAATTGTTTTGTTAGCAAAGACTGCGTGGACGTTAATGACTTCTATATGGACCGTTGCAGGAGACAGCCTCCAGATGACGGACACATTAGCGTGGACATCAGTTAGTTCAAAAAATAAACTCTCTCCAGGTTTATTGGGGTAAAAGCCTTCCAGCTCACAAGATTATAAAAAGAATTCTCTGCAGGAAATGTCTGGAAAGGACATTAAATGTGGTGCACAGCGAGAAAGAGGCTTTCTATTTTTAAAACTCTCTCCAGATGTGTTGGTGGTTTGTTGGGATAACTGCTGGAGTCTCAACCAGTCTAAACCACATAGCTCGCCGTTGCGATCACTGCTCGGCAAGCTTCCCGCACCTCCTGTGTATAACCAATGGGACTTTGCAAGTTAATAACGTACCAAATCCGACCATCTTTTCCCGCAGTGGCTTTCAATACAACAACTGATTCCAAATGTTATTTTTACACCTAAGTAAATAACTAAATTGGGTTCTATCTGTACAGTCATCAACGAGGTGCTGATTTCAGTGACTTAAGTTGGACTTTTCCATTCTTCTTCCCTCTTCCTGTGAGCGGTCAGGGTTGTGGCCACCTGGACGTTGAGGGAAGTTTCACTCAGTGGAGCAACTGCCTGTAACAATGCTCTCCCGCTCAGCCTTGTGCCACTGACCGCCTCATCAAGTTAGTCATCACCGCTGAGCCACAGGGATTTGTTTCTCTGTTTTCCTTATTCTATTGGGTATTTGTCGTAGAGATACCACGGTCCAAACTGAGGTCCAGAAGCATTTCCTCACACAGAGGGTTGTGAAGGTGTGCAATGCTCTTCCCCAGAGAGCGTTAGAAGCTGAATTAATAGAGATGTTTAACGGAGAGACAGACAGATACTCTGAGGCAGTGGAGGGATTGAGGGTATGGCAAAAGGGTGATGAATTGAGAATAAAAGATCTTCTAAGATCCAATAAACTGCTGGAACAGGCTTGATGGACTGAATGGCCTCCTCCTGCTCCTGATTCTATCCCTATCCCTATATCTGCTTATTGCTGGGGGCTGTTGTAATGCTTTTCCCCAATGTACGGTTTGGTGATGCTCTTCTTCGCTCTAATTGCAGGTTAGGTTGGATTTGACTCATGTCAATGACACTCAGACAATGATCTTCGTGCTCAACAGCAAGATTGCATTGATTTGGAACATCACTCATGCACAAAGATTTCCAATTATAGTCAATGTAAGTATTAGTCTTATTTGCACTTAGATACGGTTGATTACTGTAATGAACATTGTTTAAAATCCATAGCAAAGTACAATTGATGGGATAGAACGCCACAAACATTACGGGAAATTTATTTTGTGATTCCGAGCAGGGTTTATTTCCACACAGCTCCTGTTAATCCTGCGGGCTAGAGCCCTGACATAGCATGATCCTAGCAGGAAAACTTGCCAGGGAGTGCTCCCAATGCAAGCTATGCATTTTTGACGTGAGATTCCAGCTATTACCCCAACGCACACTCTGGGGTCCCCAAGCCTTGGCTCTTGCCAACCTGCGCCTAATACTCTCTGGAATTAGGTTAACAGGATGTGTCCCTCCAGGGAGAGAGTGCGCATTCCATTCCAGACACAGAGAAATTTCCATGTGTAGGTGCCAGACATATGTGCAATCGCCAGTCTGATTTGGATAGGCGTAAGCATGGGTTTCCACGTGTGTCAGAGTCCCGGCTGATCACAGTGACGGGTTTCCACGTGTGTCAGACTCCCGGCTGATCACAGTGATGGGTTTCCACGTGTGTCAGACTCCCGGCTGATCACAGTGATGGGTTTCCACGTGTGTCAGACTCCTGGCTGATCACAGTGACGGGTCTCCACGTGTGTCAGACTCCCGGCTGATCACAGCAACAGGTTTCCACGTGTGTCAGACATCTGGTGACCAAAGAAAACAGACTGAATTACTGCCATCTAAATTGTCTTCCCGCTGCGTGGAAACCCGTCACTGTGATCAGCCGGGAATCTGACACACGTGGAAACCTTGGCCATAGCGGCCTTGTTACAGTAACTGGGTGGGAAGAATCCCTAATTGACAGCAGGAGCAGGTCACCAGGAAGAGTGTCAGGGCTGTAAGAGACAGCTTGATGCTGTGATTGTAAAACGGTAGGGAGGGTAAGGATGAGAACTAATGGGCCAAAGTCTCTTACTTCATCCGTTCAAACCTCTTTTGTGATTGTTGTGAAGCGAACCCTTTCATTTTATTTCATATTAAAGTCAATGGTAAGTGCCTATAAGCATGAACTGAACAACAGTTGTGAATTTGTGACAGAATAAACCCAAAGCAATGACCATTGATAATGTGACAATAAACAGCCCCACGGCCTTTCCATTGGCTGCAGTGTTATTCACACTAGATACACTGACGAGTCCCTCGTGAGAGATGCTTTTCCTTGCCAACAAAAAGTTTAAACAGCAATTTGCCTTCCGAGATTTCCGAGATTAAAGAGGAGACAAGGATTCCGCCTGGAATCCTGAATTCCTGGGTTCGATGGACATTCCTTTCCCAGCTAAAGAAAATGAAACCATCGGATTTTTTTTTCTGAAAAGCAAATGAAAACGCTACACCAAGAAATAAGGTTCAAGTGGCTTTTTTTAAAAAAAAAACATTTCCGTTCCAAGCAACAACCACTGTTAAAGAGTAAAGAGTGCAGAGTTTGCAGTTGTATCGAGTTTTTCACATTGGGAAGAAGGCATTTGCCCACAAAACGCACAGTTACTACACTTTAAATCCCGTGAAGCGCTTTGAGACGTCCTGATGTGACAGGCCATTTGCCCCTTCCTTCACTTCCTTTTCAAGGTCGGTCTCAAGACCTTCCAATTTCACTGCCTTCAACAACAACTTGCATTTTATAGCGGCCTTTGGGTGGGGCAGGGTTTCAGAACGGTTAACAGTGGCAGAGCCTGATGCTGAGCCTGGGTTGGTGGGGTGGGGGTTGGGGGGGGTGGAGGGTGCAGGGGCAGAGGAGGTGACCCGAAGCACAGCAGCCAGACCCAGCGAGGTTAGGAAAGTCTTTCAAACCAATAATAAATTGGTCACTTCAATCCAGGACTGTTCGTGGGACACTGCCGCGCAAATTTGGCTGCCGCGTTTCGCCCACAAATATACAGTCAATTTGCTTTACAGTATATTCTGTGAAGCGTTTTGAGATGTCTCGAAGACGTGATCAGGCGCTGCATCAAATGCGAGGATTATTATTATTATTAAAGTGGAAATGTTTGTATTCGATTCCCAGCATCACTGGTTATATTTCTCACTGTTACTTCCTAGGCACTAGACACTTCCTCTAATACATTTGGCAGCCCTTTAATCAGACCAATCTCTCGTTGAGTTGTGGGTCTGTGTTTTTCCGAAACACATTTGCTGCAGTGGATCATCACATTTTCCCCCTGTTTTGTCTGTGGAATCACATTGTTTATAACCAGTGCTGTTTTTCAACGCGGATTCCCGGACAGGAAGAAGTCGGAGTGATAGGGGGACAAGGCAGTGGGTGCTCCAACCAACAAACAGCTTTATATATGGTACTCGTCAGTCTGCAGTCAGACTGAGATCAGAACAAACAGTAGCCCTGCCCTGATTAAAACAATTATCATTGAAATAAAACAATTATCGTTGAAATAAGGCAATTATCATTGAAATAAAACAATTATCTTTGAAATAAAACAATTGTCGTTGAAATAGAATCGTTGGAACGTAAAAAAAAATAATCCTTGCATTTGATTGAGCGCCTTTCACATCAGGAGGACGTCTGAAAGCGCTTCGCAAGTCAAGTGTATGTGTTTTAGATGAACGCAGTAATCAGCAGTAATTGAGGGCTACCAAAAGACGACTGGTTTTAGAAACATGTGGCTCCTTTATAAAATTAGTGATGGTCAAAGCTTTATTCCCGATTGAAATTCCAATTGATTTTGATTGATTCGGTTCCCGAGAGCACGAGAAACCAAATGAATTGGAATGTTTAAAGGGGGTGGTGGGGAAGGAAAGCGTAGCGGATGAAACAGAGACAGCGCTCATTACACAAAGCGTGGTGAGGGCTGTGCGTGCACTGAGATGGAGCTGAGTGTCCGTGACTGTGGCAGTTCCACCGACCTCAGCGGCCATCACCTTAATAAACCTCTTCAATCTCTGCTCATTGGCTCAGGGCCATCAAAGGGCCTTTCAGAGGTTAGACTCTTGGCCGCTGACGCACAGAAGTTAAAAAGGTCTCGTTTCCTGTCCCTCTCGAAGTTCAGGAAGACGTTTGGCACCAGTGTATTCAGCTGAGACTTGAAGGGGGTTGTTGTGAAAATAAACATTCTTTTTCTAATTGTATCCCAGAATAAAAAGTCTGCTAGTCACTGCTTGGCAGCTCTCTCTCTCTCTCTCTCTCTCTCTCTCACTCTCTCTCTCACTCATGTATGAATGGTCTACACGAGAGCACGGCTGGGGTACCTGCTCTACTCTCACCTTGTCTGCTCGGCTACTCCAGGCTTACTGTGTGTCCCTCACTCTCTCTAATGTCACCGTCAGTGGCCGAGCCTTCAGATCCTTCCCCCGAGCTTCCGGAGTTTCCTTGTTCTGCCCCTCTGTCTCGCCCCCTCTTTATCTATCTTTGTTCCACTCCAAACCGTCCACAAAATTTCACCCACAAAACACACGATCAGTTCACTTTGCAGTATATTCTGTGAAGCGCTTTGAGACGTCTCGAAGACGCGATAAGCCACTATATCAAATACAAGGCTTATTATTATTTATTATTATCAGGAACACTGAACAATGTGATAAGGCGCTATATCAAATGCAAGGATTATTATTATTATTAAATCCTACCTCTCCGATCATGCCTCTAGTCACCACCCCCCCCCCACCCACCCTCTCTTGCTCAGCATCCAACCCATTTAAATTGCTCCCAAGATATTAATATCCATGAATGGCACTGTATAAGTGCAATTTGTTGTTCGTTCTTGGGAAATAAACAATTACTCTGTTTGATAGGTTCCTTATGTTAGGAATTAACTTCTGTGGTATTTTCATTCACCTTTAAGAAGATCTCAGTTATTTCAGTCAGATCTGATTTAGATAGGGAAAGGGACCGGAGTCTACTTATTGTGTTCAGTTTTGGGATCCAATCTTAGGGTACACTAGGATTGGAGGATCTGCAACAATAATTCACTGGATTAATACAGGAGTGGCAAGGAAGTGTTTAGCATTGGTGAGAGGCTGAGGAAGGAGGGTTAGAGTTGAGGAGGTGTGGAGTAATCAGATCAAGAAAGACTGGATAGTGGACAGCTCTACCCTTGGGCCACAGAGATACCAACAAAGGATATTTCTTACCTTACAATTAGACCAAAACTGGTTAGACGTGAGATCAGAAACCTCTTCACGCAGACACTTGTACGAATGTAGAATGCACTGTTCCAGAAGGCTTAAAAGGCAAAATCAATTCAAATAACTGTTTGAGTGGGGCTTGACCCTACCAACCTTCTGACTCCGAGGTGAAAGGGCTACCAGTCGAGCCAGGCTGACACCATGGGTAAGAGGTTTCAGGTGCAGAAGACTGTTTGGCTTATTTGATTTGATTCTTGCAGAATTTCCAAATTTCTGTTACAGCAACAAGCTGATTATTGAATGAGTCCAGCATCCTGGCCTCGGCCTCTCTTCCTAATTAAAACTATTATTTTTGGTTTGCAGAATGGAGTTGCTTTTCTAATTGCTTCACCTCTCTGTTTCACAGTTATCTTCAAACAGCAAGCTGTGTTGTGGGACAATAGAGAATGAGGTGACTCTATTCACATTTCCCCCCTTTTCGACCAGTAAAGATCTCTTGGAGACAGCCAGAAAAAATTTTCCTTCAATCGCCTCTGTCACAGAGCTTGTGAAGCCGATGGATGTCACGTTCAGAACGAGAGAAGGTGAGTGGTGTGCACTTCTCTTATTCATTTCTCTCAGAATATCTGCAAAAATTCTATTTAAACAGTTTGAAAGGTTGAAGCCAAACAAAGAGATTTTAGCAGATGTGAAAGAGGGATCCCACCAAGATAAAGTGAATAGACCTTTACTCTCATTCCATATAATGGGGCAAATGGCAATAAAATGGCACAAAGGGAACATAGTGCCTTTCAGATTCTACCCCGTTCTCCAGAACTCCATCCCAGACCCCACCACCACCCCCCCCCTCACCTCATTCAAGGTTCGAATCAAGACCTAATAATAATAATTCTTGCTTTGATATAGCACCTTATCACGTTGTCGAGATGTCTCAAAGTGATTCACAGAATATACTGTAGAGGGTAGTGACTGTGTGTTATGTGTGCAAAGCGCAGCTGCCAATTGTGCACAGCAGTGTCCCGCGAACAACCGTGAAGTGAGTGAATGATTTTATTTTGGGGGATTGTTGGCCGAGACACGGGGAGAGAGAGAGAGAGAGAGAGAGAGAGAGAAACTCCCTTCTCTTTTCGAACAGGACCGAGGGATCTTTAACAAATACCCGAACAGGCAGACGGGACCAGCCTCTATGTCCGCGCTTTTAGCCTTTCCCAAAAAAAAACCCAAACAGCCCCCAGGATTTCCAGGATCCTCGGTATTTTGTCTATAGTTCTAAAATAAAAATTGATTCTGAGCATTAATTGATGGATGGATCGATTGATTGATTGGGGCCAGGAGTGAAACGTAAATGCCTTCATTTATTTAATTTGTCGTTTTATTTGATCAGATATGAAGCTTCCCACGACATCTGGACAAGAGCCTCTTGTCACTAGCACCTGGTATTTACACTACAGCTTCAATGAACCACAGCTGATCGGTTGCACAGAGTCTGATGAGCACGCGGACAGACAAATCCAAACCCACGTCATCAGTTTCAAGCCCTCGCCTTACTTCAGGTAAAGGTTTGCCAGACTTTGCAGTTGCTGCTCATTTGCTTTGTGTGTGTGTAAAAAAGACTACAGAAAAGAAGTTAAGAGAGAAGATTTCCAGTGTTACTTCAGTGGGACACGAGCAGGTTTGATGATGTCTGCCTTTGGTAGGGATTCCCTTACACAATTAAAATGTTATATAATATAAGGATTTCCCTTAAACAGTTAAATGCTTGTTACAATGCGGGGGTTGATGAGATTGGAGTGTAAAGGGAACCTTCCAGGATGTTGGGTGTGTAGCTGGTGAACCAACAGTGTGCCAGCCTCTTATAACTATAATAACACAGCTGTAACATGTTTTTAAAATCTGTTTTTATGTAATATTAATGAACTGAAAGCTATTAATACGTACACCTGGAACCACAGAAGGCGGTCATTGTGTCTGTGCTGGTTCTTTTAAAGAGCAATCCTAACAGGTCCTTTGAGACGTCTTCAACTCTGTGATAAGTCACTATATCAAATGCAAGTGTTATTATTATTAAATATTGTGACTGTAAATCGTGCAGTTTGACACTGAGATTTTCCCATTGTTTGTGATGCAGTGATTCCGTGAATAGAACAGTCAACATCTACATTGGATTTAAGGACTGGGGAAACTATAAGATACCCAAGTTGTTTCTCAGCATAGAGATCAAACAGCCTGTGACTGTACACATCGACGGGGAAGCTCATCCACCGATAAACATTAAGGTAAAGTTATTCAAATCATTTGTTCAGAAGTCAGTGATCCCTTGGGAGAATAGTAGCAACAGCTTGCCTTTATACAGGGTGAATCAGCAGGCTTTACTCATAGAGCTTTTAATTATTAATTAATTATTCTCTATTTTTAAGACAACAACGTATTGTGCTTATATAGCGCTCTCCACCCAGGGTAGAGTCTCAGAGCGCTTACCAGTGGCGGAGTCTGACTCCGAGATGGGGCGGGAGGGAAGGTGACCATCAGCATGGTTGAACAGGAAGGTTTTCAGGCGGGACTTGAAAGAGTGGAGAGAGGGATTGAGGGAGAGAGTTCCAGAATTTTGGGGCGTAGTGGCTGAAAGCGCGACCTCCGATGATGGGGCGGAGGGTGCGAGGGACGAGCAGGAGGCCGGTGCCAGTCGAGCGGAGGCACCGGGTGGTGGATTGGGGAGTGAGGAGGTTCCAGGACGAGTTAGGGAAGTTCCAGGGAGTGAAGAGATTTGAACACAAAGTGTGAGGATCTTGAAGTCGATCTGGGCCAGAACTGTTGAGATGTGGTTGAGCACGCGCAGCTATTACACGAGACGTCTTACCTCATGTTTTGTGAACATTTTTGTCACCGAGTTGATATGTGTAAAGATCTACGCAGCCCGCAGTTTGAGCATCTCACATAGACCTACGAGTAAGGATGTTGGACTTGCCCTGTATAATGCCATTGCCACAGGACAGCGTCTCAGAGCGCTGATGATAATGGCGATAAACGACCATTTTGCTGCCAAGAATGGAAGCTCCATTTCTTGGAGAAAGAGCCGAGATCAACTGGTCAGACCTCAAATAACACTGCAATTACCCTGCAAAGATACTAGTCAAAAGAGTTTCTCTCTCCCGGTGAGCTGCCTGACAATCCCCCAGATAAATTTGTTCGCTTTACAGCTGTTTGTGGGATATTGCTGTGTGCAAAATCAGTTGCCGTGTTCACCTGCAAAAGACGGTCATTATTGTTTGCAGCAATCAGCTGTGAAGCATTATAGGCGCTTGTATCAAACAGAAATAATATTGTATTAGCCTTCATTCAGGCCAGGCCTTGGCTACGATACTTGATGCAAATATTCCATTCACAAAATCGTTACGGCATTAAATGGAGGAAGTGAGTTGAGTAATATTGTGTTTCTTTCCCAGCTGCCTCATGAATCCAGATTTATGTTTCTGAACGACATGTTTAAAACACATACATTTAACTACAGTGAGGAATGGCCCGACATGAACCTTCTCCCTTTGACGTCCTATACCGAGATTCCACTGGCTGACCAGGTTCACCTTCAAATCCGGAGAGATGGTAAGAGAACAACTGCAAATTACATTTACACGGGGCCTTTCGCATCGGGAGGATGTCCCAAGGCGCTGGACAGTCAGGGATTTGGACCCGAGCAGGTGGTCGGGGTCGGGGTCGGGAGTGGTGGAAGGCAGGAAGGGTAAGGGTAGGAGGGTAGCCGAAACCGCGGTCAAAGAGGAGGGTATTGAGACGTGTTTTGAAGGAGGCAAGGGAGGGAACCAGGTGAAGGGACTGTGGGATGGAGTTCATAAGGGTGGGGACAGGGAGCAGGCTGAAGCCCACTGAGCGGAGGGAGCGGATAGGTTGAAAACAGCAGCGACAACAGCAACTTGCATTCACCCAGTGCCTCTCACACAGCATAGCACCTCGGAGTGCTGTACAGTGGTGGGGTTGGACACTGAGCAAGGGAGAAGGGGGAGGTGACTATCGGCACGGTTGACGAGATACATTTTAAATTGGGATTTAATGGTAAAGGTAACCAGAGTACCACATCTGTTTTGAGCTGTGGGCGTTACTTGGCTCCACTTCTCGCCTTGCAAGCGAGAGACCTGGGTTTGATTCCCAGCAGAGCGAAACCTTGGGCAAGTTTCCTTACTCCACACGCCTGATAATAATCCCTCAAGAAAAAAAACCCAATAATAATTTGGTCACTCAATCCACGACTGTTTGTGGGGACGCTGCTGTGCGCAATTGGCTGCCGCATTTCGCCCACAAAATATACAGTCAATTCACTTTACAGTATACCCTGTGAAGCGCTTTGAGACTTCTAGAAGACGTGAAAAGCGCTATATCAAATGAAAGGATTATTATTTATTGTTATTGAATTCTTTCAGATTCATTTCATTAATAAGTTAGCAAGTTGCAGGCTCAATAAAGAGTCAGCAATCTCTTCTACGTGGTCTTGACATCCTTTATAAAAGGAGGGTTGGGCTTGACTAAATTAATAAAGAAATATTGATGTGAAATAACAATATTCCTTGCGTTTGATGTAGCGCCTTATCAGGTCTTTGAGACGCCTCAAAGAGCTTCACAAGCTGTAACGTAAGGTGATCCCCTTTCAGTGATGGTGAGCGAGAGAGAGAGAAAGAGATGATTCCTCTTCCCGACCTGCACATGTTTGAGCTCCCATTGTAAAGAGGACGTTCAGCAGCTGTGCCGAAGTGAGGCTAACATTGAGTTCTTTATCTTTCCCCTGTAGGCAGCACGCAGCATCCCATACCCTTTCACGTACAAACAGAGTCGCCGCTCGATATTTCCAAGATCATTCACTGCGGAGAAACAGGGATGGAGATTTACTACCGAACATCAACCGGCAAAGTAACTATCCAACGCCCACCTCTCAAAGGAGGGCGCCATTTGTGGTTTCTCCTTTCATTTCAGCTAGATTATTATTAATGTTAAAAATAATAATAATAATGGTGGCTATTGTCCGTGTGTGAACCTCGGCGGTGAGTGTGGATGTGTGAGATGTAGTGCAGATTGATGCCGTCTCTGTTGTTTCTTAGCTATTGACTTGGTTATTTTCCTGATTACATCTATCCTCGCTCTCTCTGGTTTTTCTTTTAAAGGATTCTGTGATTCAGGAAATCACGTTATTGGACGAAAACTGCATAGCAAGAAACAATGGGACTCACTTCTACCTGAAGCTCTCGTCTTTCACCAACTGTAAAACTGCTGAAAGTCAGGATGGCCATCAATATGTGAACAAGGTACTCGCACGTTACAGATAAGTCCTGTAGCTCAGTGGTTAGAGCACCCACCTCGCAAGCAAGAGGACCTGGGTTTGATTCCCGGCAGGGTGAAAAGTTGGGCAGGTTTTCTTACTCCACACCCCTCTGTTTACCGAGCAATAACTAGGAACCCGGTTGTTAGTCGATCGGCGGATCACTTTTCCGGCGATAATCATCCCTTCCAAAAAAAAAAATAATGATTTGGTCACTCAATCCACCACTGTTTGTGGGACACTGCTGTGTGCAAAGGATTATTGTTATTATTAAAACTCTTTCAACCACAGAAAAAAACTTCAGTACAATAGAGAACTAAGAAAAAAAACACGTGAACAAAAGTATTAAGGGTATAAAACACGGCTCCACTGGAATGTAAATTCAGTTACAGTGGGGGTTACGGTGTGGACCCCCCCATTCACGGCACGTCTGCAGTCCCGCCCGCCTTGCTCGCTTGGTCACTTCCTGCGTCCGGCTGACTTTTGTGTTAAAATGGCCGACTTTAGATCAGTGGGTCGCCATCGACATCACTTCCTGTTTGCTGCACATGCTTTCCACGCACAAGATGGCCGACAATTGGTCCTCGTTACTGCGGACCCCAAGCACTGTAACAAACCGACTCGGTCTGATCCGTCTACACTCAGGTCAACTCTAACACACTGTGCTTTCTCCACAGCTGAAGGTGAAGTTCAGCAACAAAACTGAAAGATATTATGACGTAAGTAACCGGTTCGGGCACTTTTCACAGCAGTTGTATATATATGTGTACAAAACCCACCGTCACTCCATATTACAGTGAATCCTGTGAAGCGCTTTGAGGCGTCCGCCCGGATGTGAAAGGCGCTGTATCAAGTGTAAGGATAGTGATGTTCACGACCGGCGCAGGATCAATAGTTTTTGAGAGTGATTCAAGAGTGAATCGAGAACAGAAGCACATGGTAGCAAAGTATTATTTGTGCTGCATTCGGTATAAATGATGGCTGGGGGATTTCAGACGTACACTGTGCACCACTGGCACACGTATCCACTCAGATCTAACAAGGGTTAGCCTACGCTAACCTACACTAGCCCCTAACCTCCGTGAATCTCTCCGTCTCATCCCCATCCCCTCATTCTACGTGAGGCGTATCTCCAAAGAGATTCTTTAATCCTGCCACCCAACCCCACCCCACCCCATCCCACCCACAGCGACCCCAGTACGACCACTCTTTAGACATTTTAATATTATAAAATAATAATAAAATAATTATAAAAAATAATTCTAAAATAATAACATACTATTATTATTATTGCACAATAAAATTCTGATAACTTGTTGCTCCAAGGGAAAAGCGCTCAGTGACAAGTTAGACATAGGTACAAATGCGGCTGGGATATTGGCAGCATGGTGACTTAAGTGATAGTACGAAGTTAAGTCAGGGTCAAGTAATCAGGAGTCTACCATAGTATTTATTTTATTAATTTTGACCCGCTACGATTTAAACCTAGAATCAGGTCCAGTAATCACTAGAATGAGTTACCACACAGAATAATGATTATTATTGTCATTAAATTTGAGATTTAATTTCAACAAAGTTCTTGTTTCTTGTGACTGACTGACTGACTGACTGATTGATTGATTGATTGATTTCTGCTCCCGCTCCAGGTGTCCTGCCCTCGTATCCGCAAACCGTGCGACATCCTCCGGCTGAAAAGTTCCTCGGAACCCGATGGCATTCAGATGAGAATCTTTAAATCTTTGGACTTTGAAGTCCTATCCTTAACCCTCTTCAACAACAGCTCTGCCTTCACAGAGGTACAAAACAATTCATTTCTGCGTCTAAAATATTTGTAATCCGATTTCACAATTTCGATAGGGCTGTGAACTGAGTTGACGTTGTGTTTTGCGAGTGAGTGCAAAGGTATCGATTGGTATAATTTGGTACAATTTTTTTCAAAAGACAAAGGAGTGTCTCCCGGTGTCCTGGCCAACACTCCCTCAAATAAAATGGGTCCTGGCTGATTGTGGGACATTGCTACGTGAAAATGGGGCTGCCGTGCTCACCAACAAAATGCACAGTCAGATGCGAAGCTCGCTGTATCACATTAGAAGGATGATGATTATTATATTTCTTCCAGAGAACCAACCAAATCGTGCAATTTATTGCTTTGATTAAGATTGTCCTATTTTTTTTCACAGATCACATTATTGTCTTTCGGAGCTGGGATTTTTAAGCATATCAGACTGAAGGAATGTCATCTCAGCCCGAGAATTCCCATCCATTCAGTAAGCAAGGGCCACAGCTTTGCCAACGTGTCAGTGACTTCTACTGATCTCGGAGAGCACACCAGCCACTGCAACAATTCAGTGATTCTCCACAAACGGTTCCGCTTTATGTTCCGCCATTTGTGGGGCCCCAGTGTGGAGGAGATGGACATGCAATGTGTTTTGAATCTGTGTTTCAATATGGTGAGTTCAGCGATGTTTGGTTTCAATTTCTCTGAAGTTTTCACGCTGAACATTGTTGAGAATCAGGCAGGTTCCCGGGCCTTCAGCCTCTCTGCCCCTACCCTATCCCACATTCGCTTTGCCTCACTCCCTCCCTCCCTCACCTCCTTCAAGGGCACGTCTCAAAGCCCTCTACTTGAACTGAGCCTTCGGGCACCCTCCGCTGTTTCGTGCAGCCCAGGTGCTAAAGGTGCTTTTCCCTCCCCTCCCTTCTCCTCTCCGGCATCTGCCAATTGCCTCAGGCTGAGGGCTGAGGAAGGGCACGAGAGCGAGGTCCTACCTGACCTCAACCCCGTTTCTCCCTATAATAAAGACATTGCTGAGATAAGACCTCTTGAGTCCTGGACCCATAATCTGCTATTGAGCAGCTTCACACAGACAGGCATCAATAAGCTTCTCTGCATTCTCCAGCCTCGACGCGCTGTCTAGTTTAGTGTCCGTTGTGATTTTGGAGATTAGTATACATGAGCTGACCAGAAGGTGATGTGATCTTGCATTGAATTCTTACTCCTAGGATAACTGCATGGACCAAAAAAAAACAACTTCCCTAACACTGAAAATTGACAAGAATCATTCCAGCAGATCTAGTAAGTACAACAATTTCTTCATCCAGTTTTCTTCCCTGCTGAAGCTCCTTATTCCTTTTCCTGGCGACACTTTCACAGTTGCACATCACCCTGCAGCACCTCGTCCAAGTGCTGGCCTGAGCGGCCATTATTCCTGTGCGAGTTTAACACAGTGAGTGTTGGTGCTGGTGCAGAGTTGACATTAGATCACAAGATTGGTTTGAATGAAAGAGGCTGTTTAACCCATTTGATCTCAATCTTCCAGCACACCTCATTTCCACTTTGTCCTGTAATTATAATTTAATAATAATAATAATAATCCTGTCATTTGATACGGCCCCTTATCACGTCTTCGAGACGTCTGAAAGTGCTTCGCAGAATATACTGTAAAGTGAGTTGATTGTGTATTTTGGGGGTGAAATGCCACAAAAATTCCAGTTGCCGTGGTGACGAGCCAACTTGTGGGAGGACTTGTCCTGAGGGAAGCATGGATGGTGACCTGACTGGTTGTTCAGGATTGGTGATGATTGTTTGCGACGTGTGTGGTTGGAAGCCAAGAAAAACAGAGACATTAATCGCAATGTGACAAGAGCAAGAACAACAATGATTGATATTTTTTGTAGCAAACGAGACCTTTGGGGATTGAATCACAAGCGTCCTGGCAAGCCCAGACCTCCGCAGTTTTGTGCAGTTTCCCATCCAGGGTCAGTGATCTTCTCGTCAGCATTGAGAATGAAGTAACAAACCATTGGGAAGCTGCCCCACAAACACAGGGACGCCCTTGCCTACAGTGAGCTCACCTGGGAGATCCACATCCATACGTCCATCGCGGGCATCTCTGTGTGCAGCTCAGAGTCAGTGCGAGCTCTCCCCCCAACCCCCAACCCCCCACTCTGCACACCCACACACACAATAACATGTGGCCTTGATTTTCTCTTGACTGTTCAGAAATATTTTGAGAAAATCTCAAAAGCTTTGATGGTAGATACTGACATGACTTAAGTCGCTTTCAGTATCTCTCAGTCGGACTTATCCCGTCCGGTTGTAAAAGAAGGACGGACGCAGCGAGTGTAACGAGGGAGAAAAATCCCCGAGTCTTCTGTCCGGAGTCGCTCTAGGGAAAGTTTCCATTTTAAAAGGGTGTATGGAGCAAACACACGGTCCGTGGCTTTGAACACCGAAATATAGATGTGCGGAAAGTGAAATGTGTACAGAACTGACTTTGAACAATGAGGTTAGAGTTGACTGTTTCGCTTATTTACTTGAGTCTGATGCAGTCTATGTTGTTCATTTCTGAGAACCTCATCTGGGTGCAGCTAACGTTCGTCAAAAGCAGATTGTATTTTACTGGGATTTGATACTTACCATTTGCTGGCTCGACCTAAGCCTTTCAACTTTGGTAGCGCAGTGGAAATGGTGGTGACGCCACTCAGAATTACTCCCTGAAAAATCCTCCCGAAAAATCTCTGATCTTTAACAGGAAAGTAATTACTCTGAAGAATGACTGAGCTTCACTTCCCCCTCGGAAGCCTGTGAGCTGGCATTTCAGTCGTCAATCTGAACAGTTGTCCAGCAAATTACCAAGAGGAGTGTCTGTGAAAGAACAGCTTATGTCAGGAGACATTTGAGAAATCAGACGTTGACCCTGGGTACAGTTTGTGTAACAGCAAATTTCCTGTTGACGACTTTGTGAACTCGCTGTCTGGCCCTCATGAATTCACTTTGATACCAAAGCTTATAGGAAGGTTTATTCACCATTTAGATTTTACACTCGGGTGGGGAAAAGGTCAACAAATGGTTACCAATAAACGTGCTCACGTTTGACCAAAAGAGAGAGTGTGGAGAGAGCTTACAGTACTGTTATTCTAGATATCATTTGTGATGGATATTAATTACAATTAGCGGACCTCAACAGACATGAGGTCCACACACAGGGTCCGAAGAGATTCACACACAGTGGTGGTGGTGGAGGGGGGGGCAGGAGAGGAGGTCGGGGTGAGGGAGTCAATGGAGAGATTTTGCTCAAACACTTTTTAAGCGCTCCGAGATTCGGTTCGGCATGAAGGCAGCTATATAAATGCGAGATGTTGTTGTTGTACTGTAGCAGAGAGGGTTGTAATAATAATCCTTGCATTTGGTATAGTACCTTCCACATCAGCAGGACCTCTCTAAATGTTTTGCAGGATATACTGTAAAGTGGCAATTGACTGTTCAATTTTGTGGCCGAAACGTGGCAGCCAATTGGGCACAGCAGTGTCCCACAAACAGCCATGGAGTGAGTGGCCAATATTATTTGAGAGATCGTTGGCCAGACCACTGGGAGAGAGAGAACCTCCCTTCGCTTATCAAATAGTGCCATGGGATCTTTAACGTCCACCTGAACAGGCAGAGGAGGAACCTTGGTTTAATGTCTCACCTGAAGTACGACACCTCCAACAATGCAACCCCCTACCCACCACCCCCCCAGCGCTGCATTGGAGAGTCAGCCTGGCCTACGTGAGTCCAAGTTCCGAAGTGGGGCTAGAACCCACAACCTTCTGACTCAGAGACGAGAGCTCTACTACTGAGCCAGGCTGATACACAATGGTGATCTAATGGAGCCCTAAATGTGAAAGGTTTTGAGATGATTGGGTCTGACATATTCCCACTCACTTTCAAATCCGCAACAAGGGGCATCTTGTTAAGCTCAGCGTCATCACCAGAAGAAGTGTTTTTGTGCAGAGGGTTATCGGAACCTTTCATACCGAGAGGACGCTTCTCAAAGGGCTTGTCACTTCTGGCTGGGCACTGAGCTGGTGGTGGGAGCCAGAGGTGTGGAGAGGGGGAAAGGTGATCAGAAGCATGGCAAAAGAGATAGGTCTTGAGATGGACCTTGAGTGAGAGAGGGAGTCGGAGGGAGCGAGTTGGAGGGATGGAGTTCCAGAGAGAGAGGGGGCAAAATGGCTGATTCAAACCCAATCTGGGGTATACAGTCACTCCGGTAGCTGCATAACACTCTGTCAGGGAAAAGTACTGGCTTTTGCAGTGTGGATCAACAGATTTACAAAGTTTATTATTCCTCTTCAGAATTGTACAAATTCTCACCCCTCGGTCACCTCTGACAATGAGCTGAACTGCTGTCTTTCCTCTGTACGAGAGCGATGGAAAAATGACTTCTAAAAATAATGCGAAATGACGACGGCAATAAATGTCTCAGTTTGTTCAGGAGAGGTGCTGAAATATTTATATTTGTAGTGTTATTGTGTCAGGCCCAGTTAAAAACGTGATCTTCCTTCCTGGATTTTAATCGCTTTCAATTCTCTCTCGCTCTCTCTCTCTCTGGAGTCCGCCAGCATCCCTCCTGCTGGTTCCTGCTCAGCCTGAGCTGTGCTCTTCCCATTACCTGCAGTCAGTCCTGTTTCCTGTCTCTGTTTGTTCAGTTCCCTCCAAAGCTCAGACAACAAAGTCTGTGGTTGATAGACTGCTCTTCAGAATGGACCTTGAGGTTCACAACACATGCGTCCGATTCATAAGACGGAAGCAGGATAATTTCTTTGGGAAACGAGACACTGGGCGGACGTTAATTAAGGTCGAAGAGAAAATGAAACCAATAGTTAAGATCACAAGAGATTGTGCTGGAGAAGGCCCTAATACCTATTGATCTTGCCTTCCTGTCACAGTCCCTTCAGTTACTGCACTCGTTTAGATCAATTCTGCCTTAGAATCAGTGCTTTTGTACCAAAACCTTATGATTAAATCTTCATCCTCCCAAGAAAGGGTTCTGTGTTAAACCTGCCGACAGCAGTTGAAACTAAAATTATGCCCAACAACCAGTCAGTTACAAACAGAAGTCGCAGGGAACACTCAGCAGGTCAGGCAACATCTATGGAGACAGGAAAGTGAGTTAATGTTTCAAGTCGATGACCTTTCATCGGATTCTCTCGAACGAAGCTTACAGTCAAATCATAGAATCATAGAATTATACAGCACAGAAGGAGGCCATTTGGCCCATGGTGTCTGTGCCGGCTCTTTGAAAAGAGCTATCCAATTCAATCCCACTCCCCCGAGCTCTCCCCATAGCCCTGCAAACTTGTCCTCCCCAAATAATTATCTCCTTCTCTCTTAAAAGTTATCGAATCGACTTCCACCACTCTTTACATTCCAGATCCGAACAACTCACTGTGTGAAAACATTTCTCCTCACTTTCCCCTCAGTTGCTTTGAACAACTATTTAAAATCGGTGTCCTTGGGTTACCGACCCACCCCCCCAGTGGAAATAGTTCCTCCTTGTTCACTTTATTGAATCCCTTCATAATTTTGAAACCTTCTCTGCTCCAAGGACAATAATCCCAGCTTCTCTCGCCTCTCCTGATAACTGCAGTCCCTCATTCCTGGTACCATCCTGGTCAATCTCCTTTGAACCCTCTCCAATGCCTTGACATCCTTCCTAAAGTGTGGTGCCCAGAACTGAGCACAGTCTCTCGCTGGGGGCTAACCAGTGTTTATATAAAGGTTCATCATAACTTCCTGACTTTTGTCTTCTATGCCCCTATTTATAAAGCCTAGTATCCCGTATGCTTTTTTAACAGCTTTATCTACCTGTCCTGCCATCTTCAAAGATTTACTTATGTGAACCCCCAAATCTCTCTGTTCCTTCACCCTCTTTAAAATTGTACCATCAGCTTATATTGCCTCTCCTCATTCTTCCTCCTAAAATGCATCATTTTGCATTAAACTTTATCTGCCACGTGTCTGCCCATTTTACCAGTCTGTCTATGTCCATTTTCAGTCTGTTACTATCCTCCTCACTGTTTACTACTTTTCCAGCTTAGTATCATCTGCAAACCTGGAAACTGTACTCCCTATATCCAAGTCCAGGTCATTTATACAGATTAATACTGACCCCTGGGGGACATCACTGCTCACTTCCCTCCAGTCAGAAAAACAACCGTTCACCACCACTCTCTGCTTTCTGTCTCCCAGACAGTTCTGTATCCGCTGCCGCTGTCCCTTTAATACCGGGGACTTCAGTTGAGTATCTTCACCTTTGATTGCTCCTTGTCCCTTTCCATAAGTACTCTAAACCTAACGATGTTGTGATCACTGTGGTCCAGATGCTTTCCTACTGAAACCGGCTTCATTCCCCAGAACTAGATCCAGCACTGCTTCCTTCCTCGTTGGCCTGGAAATATACTGATCCAGAAAGTTATCCTGCATAGATTTCAGGAATCTTTCCCCCTCTTTGCCCTTTACACAGTTATTTTGCCAGTCTATGTTAGGATAATTGGAGTCCCCCATTATCACTACTCTATTGGTTTTGCACCTTTCTGAACTCTGCTGCAGATTTGCTCATCTATATAATAATACATGGTTATGAAGTTCTATTGGTGAAGAGTTTTGTTGTTTCACTGGTTAGTGGTAAAGGTTCTTCAAAACCAGCCGATGAAATGCACTCTCATTCACTGGGTGTCAGTCTCTCCCCAGTGTGACTGCAGGACTCAACTGGACCAGGTTACAAGATCTCACTGATGCTCGTGGGGTGTGTATGGGCAGTTTCACACGATGGGTACATGTGGAGCTCCGTAAAGGGGACATTTCAACAATGCCATTGCCCGATAGGCATCGGTGGCAGCCTTTAGTAAAGTGGTCTTTTTCCTGTCAGCCAGTTGGTTGTAACTAAGACACTCTCCTTTCTCTGCTTCAGATACAATAGTCACCCAGGGCCTGGAGATGGCAGCTGTGTTAGGAATTGCATTTGGTGCTTTCTGCATTGGAGCATTGCTGACCGCAGCGCTGTGGTACATCTATTCACACACCGGTGAGTCACAGGGGACGTCTCGTCATACAACAGCGCATATTTGATCAAATCGTCTCGAGAGAAGTGCTGTATATACACGGTTTGGTTTCCAGAGTATAAAGCGAGCTACTGGCCGAACAGAGGCTGTCAGTGTAGTGGGTTCATCAACGATAATAGATAACACTTGCATTTCGTACGTCGACACGTCTCAAAGCGCTTCACGCAAAGAGTTCCGTTGAGATTCTAGGGATTTGTATAGAGAGTCACAGCAGCTAACCTCTGCCAGGAACATCCCACGCACAGCAATGAAATTGTCTATCAGTTGGTGGATTTGGTTGAGGAAAGGATTCGGCCAGGACATTTGGAGGAACTCCCTGCTCTGAATGAAACTAGTGTGGGATCTGTACCATCCACCTGAACAGACAGAAAAGATCTCAGTTTCACATCTCACCTCACAACTCCGCACTGCACTTCATCCCCTCAGTGTCATTTAGAAGTTGCATCATTCCGACTGTATCAACCCAGAACCCTAACCATCCACAAATAGAGCCAGTGGTTTAGTGTGATTTAACAGCTCCTGTGGAGAGGGAGGTGCAGGTGTGTGCAGGGCGGTGGATGTGTTTGGTTCACGGAGGGCGAAATGTTAATCAGTGGCTTTTATGCGAATCTTATAGGAGCGTCTGTGGAGAAGGAACCCGTCCCCACTATCCCACCAGCGTCTGAGGCCAGCAGCACCAACCACAGCATCGGCAGCACCCAGAGCACTCCCTGCTCCACCAGCAGCATGGCCTAGCCCTCACTGCCATTCCCCCAGTGACCGGTCACCACCACCCGCGACACACCGGCAGCCCCGGCCACTGGAACACTCCTCGGCATTCTGAACAGCAGCAAAACTCCCAGCGTTGACCTAATGTAACATCCATCTGCAGTAAAGGTACCTGACAGCAGCACTGCCTGATACAGCTGGTGCCAACGGATAGACAATGACGGACCCTACGGGTGACCACAAGGTCTTTATTAAGTCAATGTTCAGCAGACTCCAGGAACCAGACACAGAGCCTGGGTCTGATGTTAATGTAATGTCTGCTCCACAAGGTGAGGTTAAAGCCTTTGCTCTGGTCTCTGCCTGGTTACATCCCATGTACTGTTTGGATATTTTATGTGTGTGTGTGTGCGCGTGCGTGTGTGTAGGGAGCGGGGTGGGAGGTATTGAGTTTGGGACATGTTTGAGCATGGGGTGCTGTCACTGATGGGTGATGGCACTCGTACTGGGAATAATGGGTTAGTAAATAACGACCTGATGTATATCCAACAGTTACTGTGCTGTTAACTGTTGGGATTCTGAACCCAGTATGTGTGAGATTCCATCATCAGCAGCAACAAGGCTTTAGCCCGACTACGAGACGTGGAATACTGTAGCTTCTGTGGTTGAAATGTTTTTATGAACGAGCTTTGTTGCCAGGAAATGATCAGAAAACCGGAGCAGTTACACAGATTCTTACTTTATTTGCTTTTTTTTTGTAAAGAAATCATGGATACAGTTTATGCCTTAATATATTAATATACAGAATTATTAACCTATAAAACTAATAAAGAATGCATTCCTATACATATACCCTCCGATCTCCGTAAAAAGCTGTAGCAAATCTCTTCCTTCCTCACACAAACAGGAACATAAGAAATGCTAGATGAAAAAAAGACCAAGGTCCATCTAGTTCGCCTTCCACCTTCCTGGGGGATGGGGAACTTCTCGATTCTGGGGCAGGACGAAACCTTAGGCGAGTTTCCTTACTCCACACACACCTCTGTTTACCTAGTACTAAGTAGAAACCCGATTTTTAGTCGATTAGTGGATCGCTTTCTGGGGTAATAATCCCGAGGCTTTGTGAGCGAGTGTGAAGGTCCTCAGAAAGGAGGTGATTTTTTTTCACTGACTGAGGAAGATGTTAAGGTCACGGTTTGAAGTGTCCTCACAGATCTGGGCAATCATTAATAATCAAGCTGTGTTCAAAGGGTTGCAGCTTGGGGTGAGTGTATGAGTGCATTCTTTTGAAGGAAACAGAACTATACCTTTCTAATAGGTGTTGTTCATGGAAAGCAACCTCAGACAAGTTTACCTGTAAACCCACATGAACAATAGTAATAGATTTATTTATTCATCTGTTATTCGTATAACCAGTTACTCCTTCAGTCATTGCTTTTTCCCCCAAAAGAAAACATGATGTGAACAGTATCTCCCCAGCTTTACTTGTGTCCTTACAGTAGATTGCTCACAGATCTGCACCTGTTGTGGGATGGTCCTCTGGTGGTATGTGAGGTTTGGGCAGCCTTTGGGCGATGTGTTGCCGGTTCGGTTTTGTTTTATGGCTCATTCTGTTTGTGTTACTCAATGCCAGCCACAGTGTGCCCACCTTGCCCACCAATTGGCCCCTCCCCAGACACTCCCCTTGCCAGGTTCCCCCCCCCCATCACCCAGTGTATTTAAGCACTCCGAGACACCGCCCGGCCTGAAGGGCTCGATAAAAATGCAAGTTGTTGTTGTCACACCGCGTGGTCAGAGCCATCGTAACATTCCTTGGCTGTGTGTGTGTGGTGAGGTGAAGCCACCACCAATCACTATCTAAATGGTCTAACGGCGCTGCTTGTGAGGTGTGATGAGGGGCCCTGACACTGGGTGCTGGGAGGCACCGAGGGAGTTTAGTCTGCACCAAACCCAAAGTCGGCAATATTCCATTCCAGTTTAGCTTAATAAATTCCATAAAATCACCAACAAACACAATGAGAAGCGCCTGTTGAGCATTGATTGATTAATCAGCTCTGGATTTATCACTGAGTTAAGTTACTGAGCCCGTGACTGAGGGTGAGTCACTTATAAAGCATTTTTTTTAAATCTAGGAGCTGAGATAGACAACTACTGTAAAACACATAGTTAAACATATATAGAACCTAAAATCAGATTATGTACAGAGTTAGTTCATTAAATACTGTATTTCATATTATAGCTCAAGATTAATACAATACTATTAATAGACACAGACGTTAAAGGAATTTTACTGATGACAAAACCATTGTGGTGATTTCCTATTGAACACTGCTCAGACGTCTGTGCTGAACTCAGTGAGTTCCTGCACGTGTTGGAAAGCGAATGCTCTGTTTGTTGGCTTTCCGATACTCAGACCTTCTTTTAGCATCGAAAATAAGCGTAAACAAAACGCAGGGGGACTAACTGGTGAAGGGCGTGGAGAGAGAGAAACACGATGGAAAGTTTTGGTCGCTCACACATCTGTACATCAGCTCTGAGAGTAAGCTGCGTGGGTTCCTCACGTTCTCTCTGGCCCCGTCACACCAGTCCTTGCCGGCTCAATTGGCTCCCAGTTACCTAACGGGTTGATTTCAAGATCCTCTCAATCGTTTTCAAATCCCTTCATGTCCTGGCACCTCCCTACCTTTCCGACCTGTTTACCCCTCGACTCCACCACCCGCTGCCTCCCCTCGGCTGGCTCCAACCTCCTGTTTGTCCCTCGTCCCCTCTGCTCTACCATCAGAGGCTGTGCCTTCAGCCACTATGCCCCGAAACTCTGGAATTCTTTCCCTCAATCCTTCCGCCTTGCCCCCTCCCTCCCCACTTTCAAATCCTGCCTGAACATCTTTTGATCATGCTTACGGTCACCGTCCCCCTCTCTCTCCCTCTCCTCCTGGCTCCAGGACGCTACCCCACATGAAGGGCGCTATATAAATGCAAGTTGTTGTTGTCCGACACAGCATTCTCTCGCCTCTAGCTCGATCTCACCTCGATAAAAAGTTTTCGATTCCCTTCTCCTTATCTATGACGATCCGACATCCACTGTCAGAAACTTCCTGCACTACGAACAGACGATTCTGGTTCTCAGTCACTACCTGCTAGCTTCTCCTCCATTAACCATCGGGGTCAGGGGTTGAATCATCCTTGATCTGCCAGCGTGTGAGCCATGATTCCGCCTGGACGCAAATGAAATCCCCATAAACATCAGCCCGGGTTTGGGAAGAGCCAGTGACTGAGATGAAGAAAAAGAAAACTCAGGAAAAGAGGTAGTGTTTTCCATTCAGTCACTGACTACACTCAGGGTTGGGTTGAGAGGGAAATTAGCTGGCGCTCCTCTCTATATTAGCTGGCTATCTGGTGCAGAAATCTGAGCGATGGAGGGCATCATTCGCGTTAACTTTGTTAATCAGCCAGATGGGAACGCACTGGTCTTTTCTGCTTCTTTACAATCCTGCTGCGTAGCCCCCGGTGTCTGGTTAGTCTCATCTACTCCTGGCAACTAGCACAGGCCCCATGCACATCCTGGGAATTGTCTGGCTGACAATTTCCCAGACAAGTCACCAGGAATCCGCTTGTTTCGCACATCCTTTGCCAAAGCCTTTTCAAGTTAATCTATTTAGCTCGTAATCATTGTTTTGTTTTGTTTCGGAATAGAAATGTACGTCACATTTGCTCAGAGATCACAGAAAGGACTTCAGCGCAGCCTTCAACCTGTAAAACGTGTAAAGATCCTTTAGATCAAAAATATTTCTGAGCAGCGACAGTGTTCGATTCAATCCCAAAAAAGATGGAGCCATTCTGTCCCCATCTTTGTGATTGATGTGAGCTGGAAACCTTCCAACCTCAATCACGAGACATTCGAAACGCCTGATGCCGGTTTGCTTCATATGAAATCAATTTGAATGTTGGCACGTTGACAGGTTCTGTCACAAATATTGGCAAAAACAACTGCACAAAGCTGTTTCTCCCAGGAAATTTGTATCAATAAGACAAATAGTTCCGTTGCAAATTAAACCAGCTACTTTATTGGAAAAATACATTAAGCATTCCGAGTACTGTATACGAAGTTGTTCTGAATAAAAATGATTTGAGAATTGAACAGGACCTTTGATTGTAGCAGAGTAGGCTATGGGTTAACAGCTGACTGGGTTAGTCCTGTTGTACCTGTACTTGGTGAATGGAAAAGAACTCAAACCCAATGTTAAACAATCTAGAACTCATATAGAGAACTAACAGCCACATTTAGTATCAATGAATGACTGGTTACAAAATAGTAAAAACACGGGTTACAGAGAGATAGGAAATGTTTTGTTACACACCTTTCCCCCATGTTATTGGGAGCCATGTGGCTTTTATGCAGTAGCGGGAGGAGGAACTGGTACAAGATGGGTTGAGACCAGGAAATAATAAATACCTTTAATAAAGGTCGGGCTGGGGCCATCAATAATCAGCGTCACTCCTTTGGGCGTTTGTAGCGCGTCACATTCACCAAGACGAACGGACGAGGCTCAACACAGAGCAAAGCAGCACCAGATAACCTGCAGCTGATCTCCCGTGACGGTGTTACCTGTGTTCAGTTATGTTCTGTACCGTGGAACCGTAGCATTTGTAATGTAAATGTTGACAGTGACTCAAATAAAATGTCTTGTTTAATACCATCCGGGGTCAGAAAATACCCTTTGCTTCTTCGTGAGTTCAATACTCTGTGCTCAGTAAAGAGTATTATTATTATTTTTCCATTTCTCAAACCCTCTCCCCCTCAAATCTCGGTTTTGTGTGTGTGTGTGTGTGTGGGGGGGAGGGATTTCACTGGGGCTGAAAGAGTAGAAGATCCAGACACGGGTTAGTGCCAGGGCATTAGGACTGGGGGTGGGGGGAGAAGGGGGAAGAGATTTGGTTAAAGATACTTACTGTAAAAGAATTAAAGACACCAAACCTCACACTCTGTTCACCCATTTATTCAGCCACTTTACATAATTCTCCTTTAAAGCACTCTCCGGGCAAGCATTTCTGAATTATCAAGAGTAAAACGTTTAAAAACGTGGGCATTGTTCACAAGGTGTCACGTGTTAGCCCTCGGCCCAAAAACATGATTTCACGCAACAAATGGCAGCATCAAACTTGAACCATTTCTCAACACACAGCTTGTTTTTTTTGAGAAAGAATAAAAATCTAAGCAGGAATTTTATACACTTTTTAAAAAAAACATTAAATTAAAAACACGTTTGACTTCAATTTTTTAAAATACTTCTTTCTATTGCTGATTCTTATAACCAGAAGAAAATACACATAAGCTTGCCTTTTAAAAGGGTAACAACTATATGTGTCTAATGTAACCTTCTTTGTTATAAAGACTTTCAGTGGGCACTTTGAGTCGTTCTCCCACTGTGAAAGATGCTATATAAATGCAAATTGTGGTGAAATATAAAGATCTATTGCACTCCACATCACAGACAGACACACCCTCTTTGGCAACTGAGAAGTTCTCAGAGTCCGTGTGACAGGAGGAGGCATTGCCACCGACAGTGGAGTTTGATGCCCAGCCTCACACACGGCCACTGGTAACATTCATAATTTTAGACGAAAGATCCAAATGACTGAGATCCCCTTAAAGCACTTAATAGTATAAATGTAGAGTCCTGTAACTCAGTGGTTAGAGCACTCGCTTTGCAAGTGAGAGACCTGAGTTCAATTCCAGGCAGAGGGCGAAACCTTGGGCAAGTTTCCTTACTCCACACAGAGCCTAATAATAATCCCTCCAAAACCAAAAACTATAATAAATTGGTCATTTTCAATCTACGACTGTTTGTGAGACATTGCTGTGCGCCATTGGCTGCCGCGTTCGCCCACAAATATACAGTCAATACACTTTACAGTGTGTTCTGTGAAGCGCTTTGGGACGTCCTCCCGACGTGAAAAGCACTATATTCAAATGCGAGGATTATTATTATTATTAAATAGACACCCCTTCCCCAAGGCAGAAATCTTTAACATTCACCTGAATAGGCAGATAGCTCCGCGGTTTAATATCTTGCCAAAAGGACGGCACCTCCAACAGTTTGGCACTTGCCCCAGCGTTGCCCTGGGTTCCACCAGGTTAGACTCAAATCCCAACTCACGACCTTCTAACCTCCAGGTGAGTGTGCAACATCCACTCAGGTGCAATGACCGAGCTCCAATTTACCCCCTTCCCCGAAGCTGGGACATTACTTTTAGCCTTAGACCCCCCCACTCCCAGAACAGACACCCCTTCCCCAAGGCAGACAACTCCTCTCCCCCAGGAATTAATGAGGGGAGAGGGAGGGAAAGAGAGATGTTGTCAGATTGACCATCCTTGTTTATTCTTAAAAATTAAGACAATTTTTTAAAGCAAAATTAAGACTTTTTTTTAAAAAAATGACAAAACGTTGGCAATTACTTTTATCATGTTGCTGTGACATTCTGGCCTCCCCCCACCCCGCTTTCCCCCCACAGAGAGGTTAAACTCGGACAACTAAAAGGTGGTTCTGACTGTCTAGGGTCTTGGGACATCCTCCTGACCTGAAAGGTGCTTTGCAAATGTAATTTGTTGTTGTTGAGCTGCTCTGGCTGAGCAAAGCTGGAGGCTGGGGCAAGCCCTGTGGGATGCTTCCCTGTGTGAAGGGCGCTCTATAAATGTTTTAGTTGTTGTTGACGGACACTGACCCCCACTGTGCCCGAGAGAGCCCTGACGGGAGGCGGGGAGTAAGAGCAGAGCTTTGCCTCACTCAGACAGTGACTGGTCCAGTAGTTTCAGGGCACCGCCGATGAGATGCAGACTGCCTATGATCAGGATCTGAATGGCTGAAGCCTCCTGGAGGGCTCGGGCCCCAGCGGAATGCAGTGTGGGGGAACCAGCAGCCCCCAGCCCCAGCTCAGGGTCTCGCCCCTGTGTGATCCACTGGAGGGCGTCTGAGATACAGGGGAAGACCAGCGCCCGCGCCTCCGGCTGGTCAAGCTCAGAGCCCTCGGACTCCCGGAGAAGCAGCAGCCCCCGATCCCGGCCCCCACCCTTCACCAGTCTGACAGACTCCGCCAGCCTGTCACCAGACGCCCGCCAGCTCTCCTCACGCCCACCTTGCAACAACTGGCACCACGTCTGCTGGTTTGTCAAGCAATTGGTCAGCACATTCTCCAGCGACACCGTGTAATTTGTCTGATCTGCAGAGAAAAGAGAAAGACTGCAATCCACAGCAGTCGCTGGCAACTTTATCCCCGACTCTCTTGCACCCCCACCACCCACCTCTCACTTCCCCACTCCAAACCTCCTCTTTCACTCTCTCTGTTTGTTTACCACTCAGGCCCAGAGACACAACTCTTGACATCTTCAAGCAATGGGGGCATGTATGAGAAGTGTTAACAGCAGCCAAACTCACCATCACTCATGCTCTGTGTCGCCATCGTCAGATTGGGGCAGAAAACCGCAAAATCAAATTGGCACGGCTGCAACAAAAAAAAAGCAGTGAAGTTCTGATGAAAGGTCATCGATCTGAAACGTTAACTCACTTTACTCTCGCCATAGATGCTGCCTGACCGGCTGAGTGTCCCCAGCCACTTGTTTTTATTTCTCTGGAGGCTTATGTTCTGTGTAAAGCATCGCCCTCGCCTGTCGGCTGCTGGGATCACACACCGACCAATTAATGTCATCTTAAAACATTTAATGGGCAGGGGCCAGCGATGGTGATTCGGGGCCGGGTGGGCTGCGACAGCGATGAGGATGGTGTGGGGTGGCGGTGATCTACACACGGGACTATACAACAAAACCCTGTCCTCACCCCAACCTAACACTCAGCCCTCCACGGTCCTGCTCTTCTCTTACCTGTCTTCTCCGTCTGCTCTTCGGGCACTGGGCTGCTCCATGTCCCCCCGCCCTGCCCACTCCACCATCGGGCTAATCAGTCTTTCTGCCCACCTGTCTGAAACTCCATCTCGGAGCCACTCCACCTCGCCCCCTCCCTTGCCTCCCTCAAGGCCAGTCTCAAGACCTTCCTTTTCGACTGGGCTTTCAGTCACCCTCCCTCCCGCACCCTCTCCCAATTCCAACACGCAGCTCGGGTGCAAACTGGTCACTGTTCAGGGACGTCCCTTCCGACATGAAATGCAATGTGTTGTTGTTCTCACCAACAGGAGTTTCAGCAGCGCCTGAGCGTCTCGCTCTCCAGTCGTGTTAAACAGCAACACCTGCAGCAACCGGCCGCTGAGAGAGAGAGAGATAGAGAGGAAGGTGAGAGAGAGGAAGGAGAGAGAGAGAGAGAATGAGAGAAAGGAGAGAGGAAGGAGAGAGAGAGAGAGAGAGGAAGGAGAGAGAGGCGTTACTGGAGGAGCACAAGGTGGGACCAGGTTCTGGAAGGGGCCAGCGATGTAAATGAAGTGAGAAATTAAGGAGCTAATGGAAGCCATCATCCGCTCAGCGACAGCAAGCCAACAATCCTTCAATCTGACCTCTCCGCCCTTGTTCTGCCCCCACCCTGTCCCACCACCCCCCCACGGATTACTTACTCCACTGCTTTTGCCTCCCTCAGCGAGTATTCCCGATACCACCTGACACCGGCCTGGGAACAAAACCAGAGTCAATGGCTGTACTTCTCCCCTACCGGCCCTTCCCCCACCTACCTCCCCACCGGCTCCCCCCACCCTGCCCCCCTCCCGAGGCACATACCTGCATACTCTCGATGGTGTGAGCTCCGTCGATGTAGTAGGTGACAGGGCCACGCTTCATAACCTGTGAGCGTCCCAGCCACACCGTGTCCTGCAGGCCTGTGGGGGGTGGGAAAGAACAGACAGAGGCTCAACCGGTCAGTGCCACTGCACAGCACAGCCCCCGCCCCCTCCTTGTTTTCATGTCCTGCCTGAAACGTTCTCCAGTAACACATTAACAACTCATCACAAACACTCGGAAAAGTCCAAGGTCAACAACCTCCTTCCTCCTCCCCCCCACCGCCAGCGATTACTGGGTCCCGACCTGAACCATTGTGTGAGGACTGAAGTGTGTGTGTAAGGGAAAGAGGGAGAGTGTGTGTGGGGTAGAGAGTGCGTATGTGTGGGGGGAGTGACAATATTTGAGTAAGAGAAGGCGTGTGTGTGTGTGAGAGACGATGCTTGAGTGTGAGGTAGCAAGTGTGTGCATGTGTGAGAGAGTGCATGCATGACAGTGTGAGTGACTGTGGCTGGTGTGTATCTGTGTGTGAGACGGTTGTGTACGAGTGTATCAGGGTGACTGCTTTGCTTGAATAATAACAATAATCCTTGCATTTGATATAGCGCTTCACAGAATATGCTGTAAAATGAATTGACTGTATACTTTTGGGCGAAACGCGGCAGCCAATTGCGCACAGCGATATCCCACAAACAGTCGTGGATTGAAAATGACCAATTTCTTTTTGTTTTGGAGGGATTATTATTAGGTGTGTGGAATAATAATAATAATAATAATAATAATCCTTGCATTTGATATAGCGCTTTTCACGTCAGGAGGACGTCCCAAAGCGCTTCACAGAACACACTGTAAAGTGAATTGACTGTATATTTGTGGGCGAACGCGGCAGCCAATTGCGCACAGCAATGTCCCACAAACAGTCATGGGTTGAAAATGACCAATTTATTATTGTTTTTGGTTTTGGAGGGATTATTATTAGGCTCTGTGTGGAGTAAGGAAACTTGCCCAAGGTTTCGCCCTCTGCCTGGAATTGAACCCAGGTTTCTCGCTTGCAAGGCGAGTGCTCTAACCAGGACAGTTTGGGTGTGTGTGTGCGTAGCAATCCCACACATTATCCCAGCTTCCCACTCAACATTCACATGAGTTAGGTGATTCCCGACCTGACACCTTGTAATCCCAACAAGTCGGTGAGATCAGTTACCTTGCACCATGGGGGCCGGCAGCGGGAACCCTGAGCTGGCCGGAGGGCGCCCGTGCTCGTACTCCCCCGGGGGCAGCATGGACCCTCGGAGCGAGGGCAAGTCTGTGTGAACAGGAAACAATTGTAACAGGAAAAGCCCCGCGACAGCCAGCCCCTCCCACCACCCTGCCCCAGCCCCTCTACTCCAAGCCCCTCACACAGCACCCCCTACTGCTCATTGGCCCTCCCCACCTGCCCCAGTGCTCCCAGCTCCCCTCCAGTCACTTCCCCCTCCGCCCCCACCCCTCCCCTCCGCCCCAGCCTCTCCCCTGTGGTTACCGTGGTGCCGGAGCCAGGTTTGGACCAGTTGCAGGGCCAGAGTTGCGTTGTGTTTCTGATGTTCTCCCACCAAGCCCAGGTGTAACTTCCCGCCCTCCACGGGGTAATCCCCCAAATCTGGGCACAGGCGCAGCAGGCACTGCAGAGCAGAGAAACAGCATCCACGTCACCACCTGTCTTGCTCCCCAGCCCGGTCCGTCGCTCCCCCGCACCCCTGACCCAGGTCTTGCTCTCTGCACCTGGTGCCACCCCCCCCACCCCTACAGGCTCAGGGGGGTGGACAGGAAGCTCTCAAACTGTGAACGCCACTTACCCCAATCTCTTTAGCTCTCTGGACCAGCACTCCCATTGGTCCACTGAACTGCGTCACCGTGAATGCCGGGACTGCAGGCTGTGAGGGGAAGGAAGTGGCGATCAGTCAGGATCACAGCGTCTAAATCAAGTCACCATCAGCCGGGCAGTAAACCAGTAACAAACCACACTCAACAATCCATTTCCATCCCACAGCACGAAGCACTCCCAGGTCAGTGACAGCACAGCTTAGAGACAGAGTGAAGCTCCCTCGACACTGTCTGTCCACACTCCTGGGTACGCTATAATTTGATTTGATACGGAATAAAGCTCCCAACACGCTTGCTCTCTACCTTGAAGATTCCTCCTTTATGCCAGGCGATCTTCTCCAGACTGTCTCCCAGGATAGCCACGTGATCAAGCCCCAGCGACGAAACTCCGCACACGACAGGACGTCTGAGATGGTAAATAATAATATAATAATCCTTGCATTTGATATAGCGCCTTACCACGTCTTTGCGACGTCTCAAAGCACTTTGCAGAATATACTGTAAAGTGAATATACTGTTTAAGCGCTCTGAAACGCTACCCTGTCGGCAGGAACATAGAGAAAGAAGAGTGACGCTATATACGTGCAAGTTGTTGGTGTTGAATTGACTGTATATTTTGTGGGCGAAGTATAGCAGCCAATTGCGCACAGCAGTGTCCCACAAACAGTCGTAGATTGGTCAAGTGACCAAAGTTTTAATATTTTTTAATTTTTTTTAAATCAGAGCATAATACAGTGGGGGGCTCAAGGAGGGGCATAACAGAGAGAGACCAGAACCTTGGGGGCTGGGGGGAAAGAGAGAGAGAGGGGTCTGTGAGCGAGAGGGAGGTGAGCGAGAATGAGAGAGAGGGGCACACAAGAGGATGTTCTGGAGGTGGGGGGGGGTTGGTGCTGCCTTGATGCTGTCTCCTACCTGATGATGTTGGTGCAGTCAAAGGCTCCGCCGATACCAACCTCCACAATCGCCACCTGTACCTGAGCACAGGAAGCAATGTATCAGAGTGAGTGAAGCAAATGAGGTCTCGACCTCCACACTCTCCTCAGTATCTCCCCCCTACACACAATCCCCCACCCGCCACCCCACGCTAACAAACTCTTTACCTTCTCTCGCAGGAAGATGTGGAACATGAGGATGGTGAGGAAGTGGAAGTAAGCGGGGAGGCTGTCCGCATGCTCTCCCTGTCGGCAGGAGCACAGAGAAAGAAGAGTTAGTGAAGACCAAGAACCAACCCCAAACCACCCCACCAGTCTGGACATGACCACCCCGCCCCCCCGCCTCCCCAAACCCCCTCCTACCTTGGTCTGGTCCAGAAGGGTGTAAACCTGCCAGAAGTATTTGGCAAACAACTCTTTACTGATTGGCTGACCGTTGATTCGGATTCTCTCCCGGACTTGCACCAGGTGTGGAGAGCTGATCACAGGAGAGGAGTGGTTATAACATGTCTGCAACACGTGTGAGAGACACTCAGAAAGAAACTCACACAGACAAGAGACAGATACGCATATAGAGGGAGGCAGAGATAAATACAAAGAAAGGGAAAAACAGATACAAGCCGAGAGAAAGCGAGACAGATGCACAGATTCACAAAGAGAGGCAGAAATATACAGAGAGAGAGATGTTTTTTAATGCAGAGCCATTTCATTGAAAAATAATCATCTTTACATTTGGTACTGCGCCTTTCACGTCAGAAGCGCTTCACAGGATATATTGAAAAGTGGAGTGACTGTTTCTGTGGATAAAACTGCTTCTTTATAAGATGGTTCAGCTGCAGCTGGCACAATGTTTGCAGTTTTGGAGCCACAAACACAGAGATAGTGACAAAGGCTGACAAACATAGGGACAGAGTGAAAGGAGCAGACCGGAAGAGTGAATTTGTGAACTGCATTTGGTACATTGATGTAGTAATTGAATTACTACCTTGTGACTCGCTGTTTAATAAATAAACTACTTATTAACTTAAAATTCCCAACTGGGAGATTTGTCAATTGCTGTAATGAGAGGAAATTGGCAGGCCATCGCCGCACAATAGGTAAACTGTCTTAACAGCAACAGCTTGTAGTTATATAGTGTCCTATATAGAGTTTCAAGACCCTACTCTTCGACCGTGTTTTCGGTTAGCCTCCCGCCCCTCTTGATCCGAATCACCAGCTTGGGTGCGGATCCCTGACTGTTCAGCACCTTGGGACGTCCTCCTGACCTGAAAGGCGCTGTACAAATGCCGTCTGTTGTTGTTATCTTTCACACTCTTGTTGTATCGCCTCTCACTCTTGCTCCCACCCACTCCACAACATGGCAATCCACACAGAGGGCACTTTAAATTATTATTATTTCATTTTGCAGAGTTTCATAGCGGTAGTGCTCAGCACGCTCGCCTCGCAAGTGAGAGGACCCTGGATTCAATTCCCGGGCAGGGCGAAACGCTGGGCAACTTTCTTTACTCCACAAACACCCCTCTGTTTACCAAGCGGTAAGTAGGATCTCGGTTGTTAGTCGATTGGTGGATCGTGTTCCAGAGGTAATTATCACTCAAGAAAGCAACAAATCCAGTTTTGGGAGTTTAACCCACAAGTGTCACAGAGAGGCAAGAGTGCAAGCAACTGAGCCAAGACTCGAGTTTGGTGTTGAGCCAGGTGTGGTGCCTCGTGGCTGACTGGTATTTAAAACGTTGATTTACCTGAAAAATCCAGTCTTTAATCCGTAATTATGCAATATTTTCTCACAAAAGGCACAGGTGGAACCCTGGCAATAAATCAAAAGTCAGACATCAGGTGTCAGTTTACAGCATTCAGGAAAGTTCAGAGCTGAGATGATCAAGAACCTGATTGAGATTTAAAATTATGAAAGGATTTGACGAAGGGCATGTTCATAAACTATTTCTAATTTAATAATAATAATAATAATCCTTGCATTTGATATAGCGCTTTTCACGTCGGGAGGACGTCCCAAAGCGCTTCACAGAACACACTGTAAAGTGACTATATATTTGTGGGCGAACGCGGCAGCCAATTGCGCACAGCAATGTCCCACAAACAGTCGGGGATTGAAAATGATCAATTTATTATTGTTTTTGGTTTTGGAGGGATTATTATTAGGCTCTGTGTGGAGTAAGGAAACTTGCCCAAGGTTTCGCCCTCTGCCTGGAATTGAACTCAGGTCTCTCGCTTGCAAAGCGAGTGCTCTAACCACTGAGCTACAGGACTCCACAGAGAGTCAGAGAGTCCAAAATGAGAGTCCAAATAGAAATCAGTAACAGACAGTTTAGGAGGAACATCTCACACACGCACAGGATGGTGAGAATGTGGAACTCGTTGCTGGCAACTGTGATTGGAGCAAAAAGCATCAACATATTTAAAAGGATGCATACTTGAGGGAGAATTGAATTGAGGCATAGAGGAGAAGGGAATAGAGGGTTAGAGGAGAGGGGTTGAGGGGTGAGGTAGGGTATAAAGATCATCAATAACATTTCCTAAGAAGCTAGAAGTGAATCCAAGGAAGAATTTATAAATAAATCTCGCCAGCAGCACCGTGATCCAAATAGATCAAGTGACAATCAACCGACACTGGGGAGGGAGCCAGGGCGAGGCAGTGGTGAGGCTCCTGGTCATACCCTGGCCAGCACTCCCCTCGCAGTGATACACTGACCTTGCCCTTAGTGCCAGTGACGTGGATGACAGACAGCTGATCCAGTTGCTCCACCTGCCAAGGACAGAGACAATCAGTTACTAACTCCACACCTCAGCAGTCAGCCAACCCACCCTCACAAATTCCTCGCCAAGCAGCCATTCTGTTCTTCATAAGCGAGGCCAGACACTGAGTATCGCAGGGGATCCAACTAAGACCCCACTGGCTCTGTCACAGAACAACAACTTGTACTTATATAGCTCCCTCCATGCAGGGTAGGGTCTCAGAGCGAACAGGTTGATTTCAAGATCCTCACAATCACCTACAAATCACTTCACGTCTTGGCACCTCCCTCTCTCACCAACCTGCTCACACCCATTCCTCTGCCAGCCTCTTTCGTTCATCCGGCACTGACCTCCTGCTCCCCTACCCCTCTTCTCCATCATCGGTGGCCATGCTTTTAGCCACTTCACCCTGACCTTCTGGAACTCTCTGCCTCAATCGCCCCCCCTCTTGACCAGTCTTCAGGTCACACCTGAAGACTTTCCTCTTCGACCGTGACTGCGGTCACCTCCCCTTTCTCCTCGGCTCATCATCAAACTGTGCCCACAGTTAAGTGTTCTGAAACGCTAGAAGCTGAAATGCTTTGCCTGAAGGGGAAGTTGAATCCGATTCGATAACAATTTTTAAGAGAGTATTATTTGGGAACGACAAGTTTGCAGAGCTATGGTGATAGAGCGGGGGAGTGGGATTGACTTGGGTAGCGCTTTTCAAAGAGCCAGTGCAGACACAATGGGCCGAATGGCCTCCTTCTGTGCTGTATAATTCTAAGTGTTTTGGAGCGCTTAACATTGACACATTCGCTTAACACTATATTAATACAAGTTGTTGTTTTGAAACGTGCTGTTTGAAGGCAAGTTGCTGTTGTATAAGGTGCACAGGCAATCACAGAACCGAGGCAGTACACACTGCCTCCCCCAGAACACCCCAGAATAATGCCCACAATATTACACTTTAACCTCACCGTCAATCCAGTTCGCTCCAGGAAGGATTTCATGGCTTTGAGTGTGTCCTCGGACTGCCCGCGCGCCTGATCCCGCCGGACGTTCTCCAACACGCTGGCATTGGTCTGGAGGCTGTTCAGTGCCCACACTGCATCCTGTAGTCGCGGAGAAAGAGATCTCAGCCCCATTGCTCTCCTCAAACAACACAGCAGCGATCCCCCGGACTCCGTATTCTAAATCTAAACCCTGGATTAGATTCCGGGCTGTAACTGACTCCTGAAATGCGTTATTCTATCTCTAACCCTCCCCCCCACCCCGACCGCCCATAGAATGCGAGACTTGTAAGTCACTCGGCCATCGTGCTGTTCTCTGTTTCCTTCCCACACCCCACACCCCGTGTCAGCCAGTTTCACTCTTGCCTCGGAGACAGACTTTTGTAGACTGGGGCCCCGCGCAGACAGCCCGATGGCTGGATACCTGTCACCGGGAACAAATTCCCCAAATTCCAGCCCCAGCGCCACAGCATCGTTAGCAACCCCTCGAATGGACACGAAGGCAGCTCGCGGTGGAAGCGGACATTCCCGATAGCTCGGAGCCCTGGGTTAGTGACCCCGGCTGTGGTTCGGGCGGGGCCTCTGACTGCCGTGCGCTGTTCACCCATTCCATTTGGAGCGCTTTGAGACGTCGCAACGACGCGATAAGGCTCTGCATCAAATGCAAGATTATTATTGTGTTATTACAGTCTGACTGTTCCACGTTCACTCTGTTCCCGCACTGTACAGATGTAAAACTCCTGCCACCTGTTAAGGATCCACTACCGTCCCCCCCATCCCCACCATCCAGTTCCTAGTAAACAGTCACTACACAACACAACAACAACAGGATTTCATTTATAGAGCGCCTTTCACGTCGGGAGGACATCCCAAGGCGCTGGACAGTTGGGTCAGGACAGCAGAATCCGGACAACCCCCACCCCACACACACACACACAGCCATCCCCTCACAACACCCACACCCCGGGACACTCACACACAGAGCACCCGCCCCCCCCCCCTCCCCGGACACTCACACACAGAGCACACCCTCCCCCCCGGGACACACACACACACACACACAGCACCCCCTCCCCCCCCCCCGGGACACTCACACACACACACACACAGCACCCCCTCCCCCCCGGGACACACACACACAGAGCTCCCCCTCCCCCCGGGACACACACACACACACACAGCACCCCCTCCCCCCCGGGACACTCACACACACACACACACACACAGCACCCCCTCCCCCCGGGACACACACACACACAGAGCACCCCCTCCCCCCCCGGGACACACACACACACACACAGAGCTCCCCCTCCCCCCCCGGGGACACACACACACACACAGAGCTCCCCCTCCCCCCCCGGGGACACACACACACACAGAGCACCCCCTCCCCCCCGGGGACACACAGACACACACACACACAGCCCCTCGGGACGGACGCCCCCCCTCACGCACCGAGTAGTCCATCCCGCCGGCCCGCGGGGCCGAGGCGGCGCTCCAGGGTGTGAAGGCGGACAGGCGGGAACACGCCGCCCCGGGAGGCGCCGCGGACACGAGCCGTCGGCCGAGGAGCCCCTGAAGCAGCGCGCGGCACCAGCGCGCCATCGCCGCGGCCGACCCCTGACCCCCGGCTGCTCTCCCCCCCCCCCGACACCGTCACCGCCCGCCCGCCAGCACCGCCGCCATCTTTCATACTGGCAACGCGCTCACGCCGTCACGTGGGCGGGTCCAGGTCCAGGTGCCCCCACTCGCCAGAGCAACACAGGTGTGTGGGAACGCCCACTCCGCAGGTCCAGACGGCATCCAATAACAACAACAACAACAACACGTCCCAAAGCGCTTCACGGGACACACTGTAAAGTGAATCGACCGCATATTCGTGGGCGGACGCGGCCGCCGATCGCGCGCAGCGACGTCCCCACAAACAGTCGGGGATTGAAAGCGACCGATTTATTATTGTTTTGGGGTTGTTTTTTTTTTGGAGGGATTATTATTAGGGGCTGCGGGTGGGGTAAGGAAACTTGCCCCAGGTTTGGCCCCGACCCGCCTGGGATTGAACTCGGGTCTCTCGCTCGCAAAGCGAGTGCTCTAACCACTGAGCTACAGGACTCCCGACTCTCTCCGTCTATGGAGAGGGAGAGGGGAGTGAGTTAATGTTTCAGGGCGCTGGAGGGCAGGGAGGGTAATAATAATAATCTTTGCATTTGATATAGCGCCTTATCACGTCTTCGAGACAACAACAACAACAAAATTACATTCATAGAGGGCCTTTGACTTCGAGAGGACGTCTCAAAGCGCTTCATGGAATACACCGTAAAGTGTCGCGACTCGTGTGTTTTTAGGCGAAACTTAAGAGGGTGAACGAACGTCTTGACGACCTGAAACGTTAACACACTTTTCTCTCTCCGTGGATGCTGTCTGACCTGTTGAGTGTTTTCAGCAACTTTTGTTTCTATCACAGCCAAACCTTCACCTGCAGTACCTCCTCCCTCCCTCCGTCACAACCAAAGACTCAAAAGGCCAGGCTTCTGGCACCTTACCAGCTCTCTGCCAACCGGCCTCCTCACAGCTCCTCGTCTCTGCCACTCCAGGTTCCACAAGCCTTGTAACCCAGCAATGCCCAGCTCCATCGGCTCCCCATTGCCCAACAAATTATCCGAGATCCTCGTCCTCACCTTGACTCACTCTATCTCTGCTTCCCACCCACACCCTCTGCCTCCAACGTTGACACAAAACACCTGCAAGCATAAATTGTTGTTGTAGGCTGACATTCCAGTACAATAGAGGGGGAGAGGACGGCAAAGGCGCCGTCTTTCAGATGAGACGCAAACTGAGGTCCTAGACGTCTGCCTATTCAAATAGTCCTATGGTACTAAAAAAGGGCCAACAATTCCCGATTAAAAAAAGTCACTTTACGGCTGATCGTGAAGATGTTTGAATGTGTTCCTGATGACTAAGCTGGTAAGTAAAGACAGATCAGTACCAAATTAACTGATCTCGGCCAAGAGGCGCAACTCCAGCCATTGAGACTGGAAGTGGGAATCAGATGTAAACCAGACATGAGATTTTTTGAGCGTTTTATTTGAAAAGTTACAAAAAAAAACTGAACAGGGTTACACATTCAATACAGCTGTTCTGTAATGTGTTGTCACTCACCCAAGGCTGTTCTATAATATTCTGCAAAGGGACATTACACAAGTAAGGAAATTAATGAACAAGGAATGCAATTGTGCCACATTCTCAACAGATGAGATATGGAAGTTCTTTTCGAAGATTTGCTTCCTCCCACCAAGGGAGCGGTTAACGTTAAGTAACAAAACTGGACTGGGGGGTGATGTCAGGAGTTCCATGTGAAGGAACAAAACCACACACTTTTTCTCATCGCTTCCAGTCTGAGCGTAAATAGGATAAACAGAATCCCAAATAAATGAGGGAATCTTCTCCAACGCAGACTTGATCGAACAGGGACTTCGGAAATCCACCAGCACCTGCTCTTCCCCCTCAAAACCCGTCACCGTTAAGCCAAGGAACTGCAACCTCTGTGAAGTCCAGGAACATTTTAGGAAAATGGTTCCTAAATCCTGGAAAATCTCACAGGATTCTGTCAAACCAACCATGAACATCTCCTGCCACACACCAAACCTAGAACCAGGCACCTCACATTGCTCCTTTCTAAATGTCCACTAGGAGGCGAGGACGAGCCACTGGAGAATGGAGGTGGGGGGTGGGAGGAAGTGGTGGGGGGAGGGAAGGAGAGTGAGAAGGATCAAGAGAATGATCAGCATTGCCTCAGTCCTCTGACCTCCTGACTGTGGGAATGTCTAGGCTATGAGCTGCTGGCCAAGATTGGTAACTCACCACAGGGGAGGTGACGTGTGCCACCAACCATGCCAATGTAAGCCACTGGCAAGAGCATCAATGGAATGATTACAAACGGCAAACGCACCCACTCCCAACAGGGGAATGATAAACTGAAGCTCCACACTACGCCATGCCTAAAGGAAACCAAGAGCCCAGCCTCCTCACTCCCTGTTTGATCATTAAGTCACAGCAACGTGGAAACTGTGCCTGAAGAGAGAGCCACTGTCGTGCCCCCCCACTCCCTCCCTCCCTCCCACGCAGACACACACACACAGAGCCCCCTTCCCACCATTCAGAACACGCGGTCAAACTCAGTCTGATTGGTGGCGGTGGGATTCTTATTCTGATTAGCCGCCTGCTGTGGCATGTGACTACCCCGGCGCCGGGGCGGGGCCAGGTACTCGAACATGGATTGGTTGTGTGTGGACAGCATGTTCTTGAGGTCGGAGGGCATGGGGTCCGTCCAGAAGAAGTCGTGGTTGAGGGCATCGTCACTGTCAGTCCTCTGGGTGGGGTCTAGCACCAGCAGCTTGTCAATCAGATCCAGGGCATACGGGTCCTTCACATAGGCCTTCAGACGGTCTTTCACCTTCCGTTTCTGACCTTTGGGCAGCTCCAACTTTTGGTACAGCTCATACTTCTCAACGTTGGGCCAGATCTGTAAGCAAACACTGGCTCAGTGGGCACTGATAAGAATAATAATCCTTGCATTTGATATAGCGCCTTATCATGTCTTCTAGACGTCTTAAAGACTGTAAAGTGAATTGACTGTGCATTTTGTGGGCGAAGGCTTTAAGAAGACATGGGGTCAGTGGGCCAGGCTGTGGAACAGGCTCCCGAGGGAAACGATGGAAGCAGAAAGTGTTGATTCATTCAAATGCCAATTAGATAAGATTTCTTTTAGAAAATAATATTTTGGGACACAGTATATGAGTAATTTGAGACGCGACATTATAGTAAGTAATATTATGCTCGGAAGAACCAGGCAACTTTGGATCTAAGGTTCCCAAAGCTTTCCACTCTGTTTCCACTCTGTTCCATACAGAATTGCTAACAACATCTCCATTATTGTAGCAGGCGACTACCAGGATGGTAGAAGGCAAACTAGATGGAGCTTGGTCTTTTTCGTCTGGTAATTCTTCTGTTATTATGCACCGATCAGAGCGAGAGCCACACGGGAGCCATTCAGCCCACATAGCCTGTTCTGCCACTGTATCACATCTTTCCCATTTTTCCTCCATTTCGCCGAATCTCTGAATATCCTCACTTCCCAAGGTTAACATTTTTAAATATTCCAAGTCTAATTCTTTCTGTCCTCTTTGTGGGGTCTAGCACCAGAAGCTTGTCAATCAGATCTCAGTGTGCTGGCTGTGTGGAGAAGATTGCAATCTCACAGCTAACGTGATTAGCTCAAAGTTTAGAACAATTTTAGCACGTAGGCGTGTTTTGGTTTAATTCAGATCATTTGTTTAAAAAGAATGGAAATTGTCAAGACACATTGTACACTGTGCAATGTCTCTCTCCAGAGCAATGTCTCTTGTCCCTCTCCTGGAGCTTTAACCTAAAACCATAAGGTTTAAACACGCAGCGCTCAGTCACTAGAAACATTTTCCCCTTTATAATATCCAAGGGACTCGGTTAGATGAGCAGCAAAGAAAATCAGAATTGAAGGTCAGAGTTCTCCCTGCAGGAGACATAATGACTCCGCACCTCACAATAATCTATGTGGGAGCCGAGCATAGGCAATCAATCCACGACAATGATAATCAGAGCGCTAGATCATTCAGGTGAAACATGAACAGCTCAGCACGGGGCTCACTTGCCCAGAGTGAGCGAGCAGCTGTGCTGTGGCCAGGCCAACCTACCTCTGCGGTGATGGAACCGCACAGCTGGCTGATCAGTGTCAGCTGGTGCTGCTCAGTGTTGCCCTGCATGATGGGGCTCCGAGTCCACATCTCGGCCATGATACACCCGGCACCCCACAGGTCGATGGGTGGCCCGTAATCTCGCTCACCTGCCGTCAGAAAGGGAAATAGAACTTCAGTCAGTAGGGCAATCCACGTCAATGAGCATCAGAGGGCTGGATCATTCAAGTGAAACACTGTGAGGTATTAATGCATAGACATTGATGGGCACTGGGAAAGCCGGCCACACGCTCTGTGCTGACTGAAACACTAACACTGAAGACACAGCAAGTTCATCAGCCAGGGAGAGAGAGGTGAAGGGATTGCGGGCTAGAGTTCCAGAGCGTGGGGGTACAGATGCTGAATGCCCGACCACCAATAGTGGGGGGCGGAGTGCAGGGGACCTGAAGCAGTGCAGAGACCCACCCAGCAGTAGCTCCGGCGGGCGGTACCACAGAGTGACCACACGGTTGGTGTAGCGGTTGGGTTGGCTGTTCTTGGCCAGGCTGAAGGCTCGGGCCAACCCGAAGTCAGCCAGTTTGAGCACGCCGTCCCGGGTAATCAGCACATTGGCGGCTTTCATGTCTCGGTGCAGAATCTGTGAAAACGCGCGGAGCAAACAGTGAGCGGCTCAGACCAGCAAGGCTGCTGCCAGCACTCACTCCAGCGTGCTGCAACCTCCAAGGCAACCCACTCATCTCAGAGCATTCCCCTCCCCCCCAGGCTCGCTCCTCCCCATACCTCCTCCCACAGGGTCACCCCTCCTCAGCCTCCCCTTCCCCCACACCCCATGCTCATCCCCCCCCAGCATCACCACCCCCCCAACCTACACACATCTCCCCCCCAGCTTCTCACCCCACACACATCTCCCCCCCCCCCCAGCTTCCCACCCCCCCACCCAGCACACCCCCTCTACCTTGTTGCGGTGGATGTAATAGAGGCCGTTGAGCAGCATCTGCATGACCTTCTTGATCTCAGCCAGCGTGAACTTGACGTTTGCGTTGCTGAGCAGCCCGGCCAGGTCGTGCTCACAGAAGTCAAACACCAGGTAGATGCTGCCCTTGTACCTGTTGTACTGTGTGGCTGCCGCCACCAAACAGAAAAAACAATCAGTGCCACGTCCACGAAACACCCACAGTGACCACAGGCTATACAGACTCATCCCCGGTGAATACTGACCTTTGGTCCGGCAAATTTCTATCAAATTGACAACATTCTCGTGTTTGAGGAGCTGCAGGATTTTAATCTCCCTCAAGGCTGTGATTGGAAACTGGCAGAAACAAAGCAACAAAACCCCGTGAGTCACACCAAGCACGAAAACATGGTAAAGCCGTCCTGAAGGCTTATCAAGAAGGCAGTCCTCACACCCCCACCCCAAAGCCGGACTGAAGATGTAGCTTTTCACCCCCTCCCCTCCTCAGCTCCCACCCAAGGCTTGGGTGTCAAGCCAGGTGTGCAGCCTGTGAGATGTCCTCCTGACCTGAAGGGCGCTACAGTATATACAGGGTGACCAAAAAGTTGTGATACCATTACAATGTTTAATAAGTCTTAAAGAAATGATGATTTTTTAAAAAAAGATAATAGAGTAGATATCACTCAGCACTGGAAAGTGAGTTAAAAGTTTCAGGTCGATGAATTTTCATTCTAAGAAAAGGTCATCGACCCGAAACGTTAACTCACTTTCCTCTCTCCATAAATGCTGCCTGATCCTCCGAGTGTTCCCAGTGACGTGTGTTTTTATTTCAGATTTCCAGCAACTGCAGTATTTTGCGTTTGGAGTAGATATCATGACTTTTCTTCAACCGTGCCTTCAGCTCCCCTCTCAACTCTCTACCCCCTCCTCGCTCCCTCCCTTCCCTCCCCTTACCCTGACCATTTCCCCCCCAAGGCTCGGATCCCGACCCAACTGTCCAGCACCTTGGGACGTCCTCCCGACGTGAAAGGCGCTCTATAAATGCAATCTTGTCGTTGTTGTTTTTGGTCACCCTGTAAATCTAAATCATTGCTATATTTAACCACAGGAGCATCGCAGCCCTCCAGCCTCATAGGGAGTCTCTGGCTAATGATGTGGAGTGGGTGCCTGACCTTGCCTGGCTGCTCTCACCCCAGGGGACAATTGGAGCCGTGACTGAGACAACAACAATAAAAGAAGAATTACATTTGATATAGCTCCTTCTCACGTCAGTAGGACGCCTCAACCACTCGGTGGAACCTGGTGCACACTGCACGCTGCCCACCTGCCAACCGTACCCCGGGCAAACCTGAGCCCTGGCCACAGGTGACAACACGCTGCTGTGGAGATCAACACAGGGACTGAGGCCAAACCTGAGCGTGTGTGTGGGGTCCGTGTGTGTATTGGGGGGGTGCATGTGTGAATGTGTGTGTGTGTGGGGGGGTCCATTGTGTGTGTATGGGGGTCAATGCGTGTGTGGGCGTGGGGGGGGGGGTGCGGTGTGTGATTGGGAGTGCGGGGGGTCACTCACCCCTTCTTTCTCATTCTCCATCAGGACTTTCTTCAGAGCCACTTTTTTTCCCGTCTGGCGGTGCCGCGCCTTAAACACCTCCCTGTAACACACACAGCCTCAACCACACCCCCCAAACACACACAGCCCCCACCCCCCAAACACACACACACACACAGCCCCCAAACACACACACACACAGCCCCCACCCCCCAAACACACACACACACAGCCCCCACCCCCCAAACACACACAGCCCCACCCCCCAAACACACACACACACACACAGCCCCCAAACACACACACACAGCCCCCACCCCCCCAAACACAGACAGCCCCCACCCCCCAAACACACACACACACACACAGCCCCCACCCCCCAAACACACACAGCCCCCACCCCCCAAACACACACACACACACACAGCCCCCAAACACACACACACAGCCCCACCCCCCCAAACACAGACAGCCCCACCCCCCAAACACACACACACACACACAGCCCCACCCCCCAAACACACACAGCCCCACCCCCAAACACACACACACACAGCCCCCACCCCCAAACACAGACAGCCCCACCCCCCAACACACACAGCCCCCACCCCCCAAACACACACAGCCCCCACCCCCCCAAACACACACAGCCCCCCACCCCCAAACACACACACACACCACAGCCTCCCCTCACCCCCGGCCCCGGCCTCCCCTCACCCCGGCCCCGGCCTCCCCTCACCCCAGGCCCCGGCCTCCCCTCACCCCCGGCCCCGGCCTCCCCTCACCCCCGGCCCCGGCCTCCCCTCACCCCAGGCCCCGGCCTCCCCTCACCCCGCCCCGGCCTCCCCTCACCCCCGGCCCCGGCCTCCCCTCACCCCAGGCCGCGGGCCCTGGTGGCCCCCCTTACCCGAAGGTTCCCTGCCCGATCTTCGCCATCTTCTCGTACTTGGAGACCTCGTCGCAAAACTGGAAATCCAACTCGTAACATTTCAGCAAATCGGTGTTCATCCGAAACGACATCGCGCGCTCCTCCGCCCTCACACCGACACCGACTGCGGTCCCGGCAACACCGCACCACCGCACCACCGCCTGGGCTCACAGCGCCACCTGCCGTCCGCTCCGAGACTCACACCCTGTGGCCACACAGCGCAACAGCAACTTGTCCCTCTCTGACTGTGAGACCCAACCTGGGGGGTGGGGGGGGGGTGGGGGGTGAGGGGAGCAGCAGCAACAACAACAACAACTTGCATTTATTATAGTGCCCCCCTCCCCCCCCTCCCCCCCAAAGCAGGGGAGCGTCCCAGAGCGCTTAAAGTAAGCGGAGTCTCCCCGGAGCTGAACTGGCTCCAAGGTGACACGCCTGGCAACGGAACGTGGGAATGGCCTCTGGTCCGGTTCCTGAGCCGGAGAGGGTCCGGGGTACTCCAGGGCGCTCGCTGCTGAGGGCAGCACGGCCCGGCCCGGCCTGGCTCGTCAGCAGGACCCGGAAGGGCCGACCAGTCACTGGACTCATCCCATTCAGCTCCTGTTGACCCCGCAAACCGAAACCCCAATGGGTAGGGTGGTCCCAGCCGGACAAGCAGCGGGAAAGCTTGTCGGGACAGTGCTCTCAATGGCAAACTATGTGATCTTAGTTGGTTGGACTCCCAGCAGTTACCCCAACGCACACTCTGGGGTCCTCAAGCCTTGGCAACCTGCGCCTAATACTCTCTGGTATTAGGTGAGCAGGATGTGACTCCAGAGAGAGAGTGTGTATTCCAATCCAACAAGCTATCTCTGGAATTTCCATGTGTAGGTGGGATGCATGGAATTCTCAGTTTGCTTTTGGATGCTCTTAAGCACGGTGATGGGTTTCCGCACGTGTCGGACACCCGGCTGACCCCAACAAACCCAGTGAATCCCAGAGCCGGTGGCAGAGGTCAGCCCGGAATTGGTGTAACCTCTGCTCTCTGCCTGGCTCGGAGTTGGTAGTCCAACACTGATTAGTGCTCTGAGATCCTACCAGTGTGAGAGACGCTGTATCAACAAATTGTTGTTGACAGTGAGTGTGACAGTGAGTGTGAGTGGCTGTGACTGTGACAGAGCACAGCGATCTTTGTTGGGCCTGACATTTCTCAGGAGGAGGAGATGAGACCTGGAGACGGTTGCTGGGACACACGTCACATTGTATAACCAGCCCCTAATGTAGTCTGATGTCATCCCTGCATTTCCCTTCCAACAGTAATAACTAATATTACTCCAGCTCATAGTACTATCTGCTCTGCTATTACTCCAGCTCACAGTAATACCGGAACTGATCTAAATGTCTTTATTATTATTGCTGTAGTTCAGGTGGATGTGAAGTGACCTCTCCTGTGGCTAATATTAATGAGAGAAATACTGCGGAATCCCAGCAGAGGGCTCGTGAGGGAATGTAGAGTCATATCAGTATCTAAACCAATAAAGACAAATAAAGTGTCTGTGTGTTTCCACCAATACCGCAGTAACCGATTGACGTAGACACATGATTAATACCTTATCGGAAAGGTCTTGTGTGCAAGAATGTCTTGGGCATTTTTTTTTCAGGGATCTCCTATCGTTGATGAGCTATATTTAAAAAAAATGCTTCAATTTAAGCCCCAAAATATGAGGTTTGCATGGTAGCAACAGAGGAAAGCACACACCTTACTAAAGAGATACATCTCTACTAATAAATTCTGCAACAAATGTATGGCAGTTTTTTTTGGGTTGTCACAGGAGTTACAGTCCACCGAACAGGAGTTCTCCCAAGCAGGAGTCCTTCCACTGAGTCCTGCCAACAAGTGTACTCCCACTGAGTCTCCCCACTCAGTCCTCCCAATAGGTGTCCTCCCACAGGAGTCCTCCCAATAGCACATTTTCTTAATCTTAAGGGAAGATGCCTAAGAAGTGAAGGTCACTTCGGCCCCTCTGATCTCCTCCCGCCAGAATCCCTGCCCTGTCATCCCCACCATCACTGCTTTTTAAATGAATCCCAGTGATCTGGTCTCATCCACCCTTCCTGACAACCTTGTCCAGTTGTTAATTACCCTCTGGGTAAAGAAAACCTTCCTGGTGTCTGTCCTATCTTATCGCGGACTTTTCCCAAATAGGAAATCTGGCCCGCGGCAGCCAAAGGGTTGTACCACCCTGATCTACATCCATAGTTCCTCATGTTTTGCTGCATTTCCCTTTTAAACACCAGCCGATTGTGGTAAGACATCTACATACTTACTGCGTGTGCGTAACGGAATCAGATGCTGAGCTTCAGTTTGCTGATCAATGGAAAGAGTCTATCTCGACATCTTTAATCACCTCAATTACAATCCCCATGACCTTTTTCTCTCAGTGGAAACACTCACAATGTTTCCATGTCTCTCAGTCTCTGGAGCGTTGGGTCCTGGTGTCTGTCAGTAAGACTCCACTGTCCCCTCACTTTCCAAACTGCAAGCAATACTCCAACTGTAGCCTTAAGCTAATTCCACCCAGAATACTGTGTCAGGCCATGTGATTGTGGGAATGTGACCCCTGGCGGGAACAACACAAGAATGTGAGAGATCCTGAGACAACGGGGAACAGAGTTGTTGTTGACTCAGTTGCTCAGAGCTTGGCTGATCTGTCGCAGTCCCTAAAAAAACCTGCGATGACCCCACTCACTCCCTGAGACGTTAAACCGAGCTCTGTAAAAGATTCTGTGGCGCTATTCGAAAAGAGAAGTGAGTCCCTCTCCCAGTGTCCTGGCCAATGATCTCCCAGATAAACCTGGTCAGAGAGAGCAGAGCGAGCGACTTCCTGTGTGCAGCACCTGCTGAACCAGCTACACTCCGAGCGAGTGAAATGGTAAACAACATGTGGCTTCTCATCACAGAGCCTGAGAGACCGCAGAGCTCTGCACAGACACCTACATCCACTCACTGTGTCTTACACACTTGCTCACTGTGTCTCACTCGCCTCACTGGGTCTACACACTCACTCGCTCACTGTCTTACACACCCACCCACTGTCTTACACACCCACCCACTGTCTTACACACCCGTTCACTGTTTTACACACCGACTCACTGTGTCTTACACACACTGCTGCGTTCCGCCTGTCCCTTGGCAGACAACAATAGCAACAACTTAGATTTATATAGCGCCCTCCACGACGGACAGCGTCTCAGAACGCTTTAAGTTCTCAGTCACTACACCTCGCTGTCTCCCACACTGAGCTGGCACCATCCCTGGATGGCAGTCATTGCCTGCGGCTCCCAGCTGCTTGCTGTGTAGTGTACACTGGCCTCTACCGTGTCCACATGTTACTAACACACAAACCACACGTATGGAGCACAAGGAAGTGGATTCACACTTGTGTGATCTCGGTCATTTTTCTGGGTTTTGTTTGTCTGGTCACTGATTAGAAAACTTCATTCACCATCAATATGTAATCTTAGGTTTAGACCGGCCTTAATCCAGGATAATCGCTCGTGTACGTGAGGGTCTCTGAGAGCCATTGTATAGAGGGCGATTACCGGACGGTCAGTGTAACCCTGTCCCAGGGAATCAGCCAACACGCCCGTAAGACTTACATACGAATCAAGGTCACCGCAAACAATAAGGTGCTTTTTGCAAAGTTACAAAATGAACTACTACTAACTCCCTCTGCACTGTACATGCACACTCTCAGGTCAGAATTAGAGACAGAGTAAAGCTCCTTCTACACTATTCGTCCACACCCAGGTCAGTGACAGCACAGGTTAGAGACAGAGTACCAACATCAGCAAATTGCATTTACACAGCAACAACAACAACTTGCACTTATAGAGCAAGGGGGCTTTGGATGACATCATCGAGCGGGAGCACGTAGATGCGAAAGAGGAGAGGACCAAGGACAGATCCTTCCATCTACACTGTCTCTCTACGCTCTCAGGTTCAGGTTCAGCATGGGTAAGAGACAGAGTGAAGTGTTAATCTCAATGTGAGGGTATTGGGTGTGGGGGTGGGCTGTCCAGCGGGAGGTACTGCTGTGCGGGTGTGGGGGAGCTCAGTGACCCTCGCCAGCACCAGGAGAGGTTGCCGTCTGGTTCTGTTGAGCCCGGAAACATGTACATCTGAGACACGGCGTCTGATGGGGTTAATGGGCAATTGGCCCAAGTGGTGAAATGAATGCAGATGTGTCTTGGGCAATTGTCAGAGGAAGTGGCTTTCTGCGAGGAAGCAAACCAGTGAGCTGATATGATGAAGGTGTGATGACATCTACCGCCTGTAGCATACGAGATGTACGATGGAACTGACAGATTGACACAGACGTGAAGGCAAATGACAGCTTTCAGGAAGTCCTATTTATTGATGTGAAAGGTTGCACTGGTTAATGTGACTGACTGACTGACTGACTGCCGGGGAATCTAGCTCTCTCTCTCTCTTTCTCTCTCCATCGCCAGCTGCTCAACAACCACCGGTGACACATCAGGGTCAGCGTGAGGGGTGACCATGAGCCTGAAGAAGTTCAGTAAGTTTGATGGGGTGGGGGAGAAGGGGGGAACGGGCGGGTGAGGGGGCTATGGAGTGTGTAAAGGGAGCCTGGGCTGACATAAGACCCTGAACATCAAACTGCACAAACTATTTAAAGGAACAGTGACTTTTGAACTGAGAGCACACACTGCCATGTTCACTGTCAATCCGTGACTTTAATGTGATATGTGACTTAACATGATCAGTGGCTTCTCAGTCACTCGTGAGGTAGGGATGGATATTTTAGAAATGTTCGCTTTCTGTTCTTTTTCTCTGCTCCCATCATTCCAGCTGTAACCTGCAGACAGACTGCATTAGACCTCACAATTTAAAGTGATACCCAGTGATGCATTCATTAATGTCACTGACCTGGGAGTGTAGAGGGAGCTTTACTCTGTGTTTAAAATGTTGCTGCCATTAATCTGGGAGTGTGGACAGACAATGTAGAGGGAGCTTTAACACTGTATGTAATGGAGGAAAGGAAAAATCCTTACTCTCGATATAGAAACTTATCACATGTCAATGCGCCACTGTAACAACAACAACAACTTGGATTTATATAGCGCCCTCCACGCCGGACGGCGTCTCAGAGAGCTTAGCTATTGTACTTTACTACTGTAAAGTGTAGTGATTGAGTTTGCGAACATATGTGTTGAGCATGCATGTGTGTGAGCGTATATGTGGTGTGTGAACCTGTGTATTTACGTGAGTGTGTGTGATCCATGTATGAGTGTGAGTGAATGAGTGAGTGTGTGAATAAGTAGGTTTGTGTGTGTGTGTATCCAAGTGATCGTGATATGTGAATTAGTGAATGTATGTTAGTGATTATTCGTGTTAGCGTGTGAGTGTGAGTGATTGTTCGTGTTAGCGTGTGAGTGTGAGTGATTGTTCGTGTTAGCGTGTGAGTGTGAGTGATTGTTCGTGTTAGCGTGTGAGTGTGAGTGATTGTTCGTGTTAGCGTGTGAGTGTGAGTGATTGTTCGTGTTAGCGTGTGAGTGTGAGTGATTGTTCGTGTTAGCGTGTGAGTGTGAGTGATTGTTCGTGTTAGCGTGTGAGTGTGAGTGATTGTTCGTGTTAGCGTGTGAGTGTGAGTGATTGTTCGTGTTAACGTGTGAGTGTGAGTGATTGTACGTGTGAGTGTGTGTGAGTGATTGTGTGAGTGTGAGTGATTGTACGTGTGTGAGTGTGTGTGTGAGAAAGAGAGAGCGTGTGAGTGTACGGATGAGGATGCACTGAACAAAATCCAAACACAACCACTCTGTTTACCTCTCGGATGCCCCACCCACCCCCACCCCCTGCTTCACAGTCATTCTCACGCTCCCTGTCCTGATGGGGGTTGTGCTCAGTGTATGTGTGTGTGTGGGGGGAGTGTGCAGTTAGTGGTCGTGTGATAGGGTCCAGTGTTTAGGATGTGGAATATCACACTGATGTTCCCAGCGCTGGAGCTTGTCTCTGTGTATCTCAGAGCCTTGATTGCACCACAGTGTGGTCTGCACCCTCCCCCCAACCCTGAGAATAAGGCACTGAGCAGGACCTGGGTGCTGGCACCAACTCAGGGTGAAGCAAGTGCAGTCAACAAGCTGAGTATCAGTTCCTGGGAGTTGATGCTCAGTGGGATGTGGTGAGGGTGAGGCTCGCAAGGGTGGGGTGGGGGTGGGCGGGAGGTTTGGGGTAGGGTCAACGGGAAGTGGAGAGGAGTTTGCTGAGCTGCCGAGTCTGCAATAATAATAATAATAATCCTTGCATTTGATATAGCGCTTTTCACGTCGGGAGGACGTCCCAAAGCGCTTTACAGAACACACTGTAAAGTGAATTGACTGTATATTTGTGGGCGAACGCGGCAGCCAATTGCACACAGCGATGTCCCACAAACAGTCGTAGATTGAAAATGACCAATTTATTATTGTTTTTGGTTTTGGAGGGATTATTATTAGGCTCTGTGTGGAGTAAGGAAACTTGCCCAAGGTTTCGCCCTCTGCCTGGAATTGAACTCAGGTCTCTCGCTTGCAAAACGAGTGCTCTAACCACTGAGCTACAGGACTCCACACAAATCAAGAAGCATCGGTTTCTCACTGCATCTAAATATAGAGACGTACAATGAACGTGCGATATTGAGTGCTGCCCCAGCGTGCACAATTGACTTGAATTCACAGTCTTCTATCTCAAAGGCACTGTCTGCCTGTCCAGGTGGACGTTAAAGATCCTATGTCACTATTCGAAAAGAGATGGACGTTTCTCTCTCGCTCTCTCTCTTTCTCTTTCTCTCTTGGTGTGCTGACCGACAATCTCGCAGCTAACAAAAACAGAGATCGCTGGGAACACTCAGCAGGTCAGGCAGCATCTATGGAGAAAGGAACGTGAGTCAGCTTTCCAGCATCTGCAGTAATTTGCGTTTGAATCCAATCAGATTGGTCGCTCGCTCTCATGGCTGTTTGTGGAACACTGCTGTGCTCACCTTAGCTCCTGCGTTCATTTACAAAATACCCAGTCACTGCACTTTATAGTAAATTCCTTGAGACGTTGCAACGTGAAAAGCCTCCGTGTCTAATGCAGGGGTTATCATGATTCAAGAAATACAGAAAAAGGGCTGCCAAATTAAAACGGGTTTTAAAACAGAGTTTCCACGATTCTGCACAAAGTTCTCTGAGATCAGGCTTCCCAGGGCGGGGAGAGAGGCAGCCATCGCAAGGCAAGGTGCTATTTCAGGCCTCCTGAATGTGACAAGATGTTTCCGACTCAACTAACCAAAGAGGGCAAAGGCCTCAGCCAGGCCGGGTGTGTCAGTCACACTCTTATCGTATGTGGCTGTGAGGAAGTGAGATCGGTCGATGTGAGGTCTTATTTATTGAGAAACAAAATGCACCAGAACACAAACGAACTTCACGAGAGGCAGAGAGAGGTCGAGAGAAGTCACAGAGGGCTGTGAGGTTAAACAAGTGGTTAGAACCCTGTAGAGCGTAGGAGGAAGGGAAGGAGAAGTCTTGCTGACGCTCGCACTCAGCTCACCCATCCACCCCCACTTGCCCCAGTGAGAGACGTTGTACCTGCCGCCCTGGGGGGAGTGAGAATGGCAGGTGATTGTCAATGTTCGGGCCCCCACTGTGCCTGACCTCAGTGTCCCTGGGCTATCACACTCCCACCATCCATCTTCAGTCCGTGCGGATTGTGGAAAGTGCTTCAGCGCCGGCTTAGCGTGGAAGCCGATTTCCTGGCGTTCTTAACTAGAAATCAGCTTCAGAGTAAAGGGGATTTAAGGATTTTTCACAATTCCGCACAACCTTAAACTTTAAAGACAACGGCTGAGACGGGGAGAATTGCGGCTCAGAGGCAACGTCCTCCTGCCCGGTGCTGAGCCAGACTGTGACACCGGCTGTCTGTGTGCCGGTGTGTTAGTGTGTCTCTCTGTGTGTCAGTGTGTCTGTCTGTAGATCAGTGTATCTCTGTGTCTGTCTGTGTGTCAGTGTGTCTGTGTGTTAGTGTGTGTCTGTGTGTTGGTGTATCTATCTATCTGTGTGTCTGTATGTTTGTCTGTGTGTTAGTGTGTGTCTGTGTGTTGGTGTATCTATCTATCTGTGTGTCTGTGTGTTTGTCTGTGTGTCAGTGTGTCTGTCTGTCAGGGATCAGACCACTGACTCCCTGCCCCAGTCTGTGTGGGAACGACGCCTCATACCCTCACTGTCTGCCCCGAGCTCCTGTCTGCAGGGCTGGGAACAGGCCGACCCCATCACATTTACCAATTGCTGGAAAAACAGACGTTATACAGCAAAGTCCCTGTCAGCCAGAGAACAAAACGGCTCCCCCGCCACATACACACACACTCCCCCCACCCCCCAACTGTTTGTTAGTGTAAGTTGTCACTGTATCCCAGCCGTGCTGGAGTGAAACTGCGCTGAGCATCCCATAATCAACACCACATTGCTCGCTTGGAATGCGAGCCAGAAATAGCTGGGAACGTTTACATTTTTCCCCGTTCCCATAAAGCTGCTGTCGCCCAGAGAATGTTTGCTTTTCCTTTCCCTCTCTCCCCCCCGCACCCCCCCCCCCACCAATTTCCCCCGGGAGCACCGAGAGTAAAGGGTAAGGTATGCGCTAGTACACGCCAGCCAGATACTTTTGCTTCCCAAGTGAAAGTGCCTTCAGATCCCCAGAAGTTATTCTCAGGCTGTACAGTCCTGGTCACTGTGACATAAAGGGCTCCCCAGGCCTTAGAGGTGGTGTAAAGGATCATCCCCAGTGGTAGAGGAATGAACTATATCCTCTAGTGATTCAGTTGTCAGACTCCACCACTGTGAAGTGCTCCGGGACCTACCCCTCGTGAAGGGCGCTATGTAAAGGCAAATTATTGCTCTCATTAATGATTAGACAAGACTGGGGCTCTTCAGTCTTGAGAGAAGATAATTCAGAGGGGACCTCGTAGAGGTGTATACATTTTTGAAATGGGATTGAAAAAGTAAACCAAGATGGATACTGTAGGGTGAAGCGAGACAGTAGAACACAAGAGGACACAGGTTTAGAGTTAGTTGTAATTGGGGCAATTTTAGGACAGACACCAGGTTTTCTGTCCTTAGAAGTGAATCAAAGACTGGAACGAGTTGCCAGGAAAGGTGCTCGAGGCCAGGACGCTGGACTCATTTTAAAAATGGTGCTGTGAGGGGGTGGGGGTGGTGGTGGGGGGTTGGGGCGAGTTGAGGCGGGGGTGGGGAGGGGAGGGGAGAGTCACAGCTCAAGTGGTGGCAGGTCAGGAACCACCCCCACCCCAGTCTGCGCTTTCCTAGCCTCAGTGTCCCTGGGCTATCACAGCCAAGCTTCTCCCGCTCCCACAATCCGTCTTCAGACCGTACAGATTGTGAAAAGTCCTTAAACACCGACTTAGTGTGGAAGCCGATTTTCTGCCGTTCTTAAATAGAAATCAGCTTCAGATTAAAGTGGATTTAAGGATTTTCACAATTCTGTACAACCTTAAGCATCTTAGCCAACAATGGTGCCCCCACAGCTCAGTGAATGACTATAAGCCTCCAAGGTGACTGGTGATCCTAGATAGCAACACCTGTAATAGAGTAACCAACTGAGGGGAGGAGAGGGAAGGGGAAGAGAGGAGGTGGGGAGGGAGATGGGGGGGGAGAGGAGAGGAGGAGGGAAGGCGAGGAGGTGGGGAGGAGAGGACAGAAGGTGGGAGGAGGATGGAGAGGAGAGGGGAAGTGGGGATGAGAGGAGGGGGTGGGGGAAGGAGAGGAGGACAGGAAGGGGAGAAGAGGAGAGGAAGTGGGGAAGGGAGGAGAAGAGAGGGGAGGAGGTGGGAAGGGTCCAAAAACCCCTGACAGCCCAGCACTCTGGGATGTCTTTCTGATGTGCAGGGCGCTATTATAATAATCCTTGCATTTGATATAGCGCTTTTCATGTCAGGAGAACATCCCAAAGCGCTTCACAGAACACACTGTAAAGTGAATTGACTGTATATTTGTGGGCGAACGCGGCAGCCAATTGCGCACAGCAATGTCCCACAAACAGTCGTGGATTGAAAATGACCAATTTATTATTGTTTTTGGTTTTGGAGGGATTATTATTAGGCTCTGTGTGGAGTAAGGAAACTTGCCCAAGGTTTCGCCCTCTGCCTGGAATTGAACTCAGGTCTCTCACTTGCAAAGCGAGTGCTCTAACCACTGAGCTACAGGACTCCACATTACAAGTGTCGTTAGCTGTTGTTGCTATTGTTGTTGTTGTTATTACTGTGAGGTTGTGATGATGTTTGTGTCTCTGGTCTCCCTGTTGCAGAGTTCCTGCGGTTTAACTTTGGCAGCTTAACCAACCTCCCGCGGAGCCTGTCTCTGCGGCGATCGTCGAGCAGTGCGACCGAGGGCCGGAAGCGAGGGCGAGGCCGGGAGCCCGAGTGTCTGTCGGTTCACAATGAAACGATGGACGACCTGGAGACGGTGCCACGGAGCCCAGGCTACGCCCGCTCTGACGAGATGTACACACACATGGGCACCATGCCTCGGTGCAACTCCAACCGGGCAAAGAAACTGGGCAAAGCGCCCCCCAATGGCCAAAACCAGGGTAACGTCCGGCAGAACCCACTGCCCCCACTGCCATCGGACAGCGGTGAGCAGCCACCCCAGCCTCCCAGCCAGCAGACAGCTCCGGCACAGCCAGACACCCACCCCAGGGTGGGCAGTCCAGCTCAGCCCTCCAGCCCCAACCCCCCCAAACACACCCCAACCCAACCAGTTGGACCCCCAAACCAGGACGGGCCGGGCACAGCAAGCGATCACCGAGGTGGGGATGAGGTCGCTGCTCCCAGCGACAGAGCAGAGGAGGGGTCGCCCGCGAGCAGACACCAAGAGGAGACGGCGATGGACAGGTAAAGACCCGGCTAGCCATTGCCTCGCCTCGGACGTTGTGTTGTTATTGGTGGGTGGGGGGGCGGATTCTCTCCTGTGGGCGCTCACTTGTTGCTGGGAGATGTTACACCAGAGGCCGGTCACCCGTGACCTTCGAACACGAGCGCTGCTGATGAGACCGTGAGAGCTGCGAGACTGAGATCAGCCGCTGATCTCAGCCGCTCGGCACAGAGCGCGGCTGAGATCAGCGACTGATATGACCAGACACTGTGAGGCTCAACTTTACACTAACCATCACTGAGGAGACATTATGGTAGCGAACTCCACCCCCACTCCCGCCCCCTGCACCCCCTCCACACACACACACACACACACACTAATTATTGAGACATTCTGTAAGCTTGACTCAGTTGATAGCACTCATGGCTGGCGTCATGGCTTTGAGCTTTCCGAGAGGCGCTGTACGAAGGTCGCTGTATGAGTGCAAGTTGTTGCTGCTGTTGCTGTTGTTGTTGTCGTTGTCATCGAGCTCCACTGCTGGACTGGTCTCTCGCTGAGAGGCTGAGCTGTGTTGAGTATCCAGTCTTTACAGTATTCAACGGTGAGGGGCAGTGAGGGGGGCAGAAAGGGGTGGCAGTGACAGGTGGGGCAGTGAGAGGGTGGGACAGTGAGGAGGCACAGTGAGAGGCGAGGGGCAGTGAGGGGAGCGGACAGTGAGGGGGGATAGTGAGAGGGGGCACAGCAAGAAGCAAGGGGCAGTGAGGGGAGGGCACAGTGAGAGGCGAGGGGCAGTGAGGCTGGCACTTGGGGAGGGGTGACCGTGTTGCGTCCCAGAGCAAGCGCTCTGGAGCGCTACCCTGCGTGAGGGGCGCTGTATAAACGCAAGTTGTTGTTGTTGTTGTAGAGGATGCGGAGTTTGCCTGTCACTCTGGCTGGGAATTGTTACATTCCCCCCCCCCCTCCCCCTGGAGATTGCTCTGCTCGCTCGGAATGCCGGTTGCTGCTCTGCTCAGGAACTGGTGACAGTCTGACACTCGACATTCCCAGTGAGCGGCAGCAGCGAGTGAGTGAGGGAGGGAGGGAGGGAGCCGGGGCTGAGATGACGGGAAGAGCCTATGTGCTGTGGAACCAGCCTCTCGGGTATGTATTGCGTGTGTGTATATGTGCCTATGTGCGCGTTCTCTGCACCTTTTTTCTCAGTTTGCTCAAGAGTGAGGCTGGTCCAGGTGTTACTCTGACAGATGTGTGCACTCAGCTGCTCTGCTCATCGAAATGAGTTGCCTGGACATAACCCCGAACTTTTGTTGAAGTTTCAAGCCTTGGTGGGTTTTAATAAATCTTAAAACAGCAAAATTCAGCTATTGTACTGGTGCCAAAGACCCAATTCACTGCGTGTGTGTGTGAGAGAGAGAGAGAGACAGAGAGAGAGAGACAGAAACAGACAGAGAGACAGAGACAGGGAGAGAGAAACAGAGAGAGACAGAGAGAGGAATAGACAGATAGAGAGACAGAAACAGATAGAGAGAGAAACTGAGAGAGAGAGAGAGAGAGAGAGAGAGAGACCGCGCCAGACAGCACCAGAAGCAGAGAGAGAGATGGAGTTAGAGAGAGACAGAAACACTTATAATAATAATACTGCTTGTCTTTGATAGGGTGCCTTTCACATCAGAGAGAGCTGAACAGTGGTATTCATAAAAATGAATGAACAGTGATTTAGAAAAGCAGGAGCACGGGCGGTCTGGGCTGAGTGCCTGCTGTAAGGCACTTCATGAGATCGAGGCAGTAAATGCATGGCAATATGCTCAGATTTACAGCAGCGAGACAGAAGGAGGCCATTCAGAGTATAGTCAATTCACTTCACAGTCTATTAGGTGAAGCACTTTGAGCCGTTCTCGAAGATGTGATAAGGCGTTGTATCAAATGCAAGGATTATTATTGTTATATTCAGCTTCAAACCTGTTCCATCATATATTAGATTTTGGTTGATCGCGTAATCCCAGCGCCCCACCCCTTTCCCCATATCCCTTGATATATCTCTGCTGGCTAAGTCACTGTTCCTCTTTTTAAACCTCCCAATAAATCTGCTTCAACAGCTTTCTAGGGCCGAGGGTTCCACATCCTCACAGCGCTCTGTGTTAGCGAGGAAAGGTTTAGGACAGAAACCGGGAAGTATTTAATTAGACAGTGAGGGATCGGCAACTAGAACAGATGACCAGGACAGGTGGTTTAGGCCAGGATGTTGGACATAGGGTGGACATAGGGTAGGGTGGAAGTAAAGTGGGCGTAGGACATAATAATTCCATCAAAAAAAAATTGGTCACTTCAATCCACGACTGTTTGTGGAGACGCTGCTGTGCGCAATTGGCTGCCGCGTTTCGCCCACAAAATATAGAGTCAATTCACTTTACACTATATTCCGTGAAGCGCTTTGGGACGTCTCGAAGACGTGATAAGGTGCTGTGTCACTTGCAAGGATTATTTATTATTACGGCCTCTTTGCGTGGCTGTGTCGCTCTGTGCAAATGGTCTGACAGGCTTGGGACTGCAGGGCTGTGGCAGAGCACGGGGAAGGGCTGAAGGGGTTAAGCTGTGTGAGCTGGCTGAGCGGAGTGGCCCTGGGCTGGGCTGGGAGGATGCATATGGCCCGTCCGTTCCCTGCTTCCTGCCTTTAAGGAGATGTCATACAGCGGAAACAGATGTCACACACAGCCACGTCCTCCGCTGACAGGTCCCGGGGCCGAGGGGAACCAGCGATACAGTGACACAGCCTCCCTGGAAACCCCCAACCCCCGAATCCACCTTCTCACAACCGTGCGCAAGTCAGGCGGTGGAGAAGGATAGAATGGTTGACAGTAACGAAGGCGACAGAGAGATCCAAGAAGAACGAGGAGATAGAGAGAGCCCTGGTCAAGAATGGAGAGAATGTTGTTGGTGCAGTCGGTCAGGACTGTGCAAAAAACAGACAACCAAACGACAACAGCTTGCATTTATATAACACCCGTCACACAGGGTAACGTCTCAGAGCGCTTAGGGTTAGGGAGAATTACAGTGGTTGATGCAGGGAGAGGAAAGAGGAAAACAATGACTTGCTCCAGTACCTTGGAGAGGAAAGACCGGTTAGAGATGGGAGAGTAATCTGAGAGCCTGGACGGAACAAGGAGGGCGTTTTTGAGGATGTTTGGACACGTTTGGGTCAAACGCTCCATTCTGTATAACTAACACAAGGTTAACAATGCCAAACAAATTATAATGCGTGACGAGTGAGCAGAGAGTAACAACAACAACAACAACTTGTGTTTATATAGCGCTCCTCACGCAGGGTGGCGACCCAGAGCGCTTGACAGTGGCGGAGCACGATGGCAATCTTGGGGGGGAGGGTGTGGTGACCGTAGGCACGGTCGAACAGGAAGGTCTTCGGGTGTGGCCTGAAGATGGGGAAGGAAGGGGCAAGGCAAAGGGATAGAGGAAGAGCGTTACGAAACTCACAAAACTCACAATAAAAGCAGCGTCACCCAGTCAGGCAACTCTCGCCTCTGGCTCAGGAGGTTCTGGGTTCAAGACCACCTCAAGCCTCCAATGGAGTGCTGGGGGGTGGGTGGGTGGGTGGTGGTGGTGGTGTTGCTGCAATGTTGTAAGTGTTGTCGTTCGGATGATTCATTTAAACCAAAGTCCCATCTGTTGTGTCTATTCAGGTGGACTTTATAATAATAATAATAATAATAATAATCCTTGCATTTGATATAGCGCTTTTCACGTCGGGAGGACGTCCCAAAGCGCTTCACAGAACACACTGTAAAGTGAATTGACTGTATATTTGTGGGCGAACGCGGCAGCCAATTGCGCACAGCAATGTCCCACAAACAATCGTAGATTGAAAATGACCAATTTATTATTGTTTTTTTGGGGGTTTTTGGAGGGATTATTATTAGGCTCTGTGTGGAGTAAGGAAACTTGCCCAAGGTTTCGCCCTGCCTGGAATTGAACTCAGGTCTCTCACTTGCAAAGCGAGTGCTCTAACCACTGAGCTACAGGACTCCACAGATCCTCTGCACTGTTGGCCAAACAATCCCCCAAATAAAATTGGTCATTCAGGTCGTTGCTGTGGAAGGCAGGACCTCGCATTGATGACAGAATTACCAGTGAAGTGTTTTGCCACATTATTGGTGCTCTCAGAAATTTAAGGATTGTTGTATTAATGTAAGACAGCAATAGCCCTTTAAATGATGGTTCCCCCCCACTCCCTCCCCCCTGCCCCCCCCCAACCGTGCACACACACTAGATGTTTGGCCAGGAAACTCAGGAGGAAATGATTTGGTCCAAAGTGTTGGTTGGATTCCATTCCCAGATTAGTGTGTGAATGGCCGGATGTGAGTTGTAATCCCAGGCAGGTGATTAGTAATCAGTGTCCCCCCCACCTCCAGCTCTGGGAATCACGCCATACTGGCAATGAAAAGAGGATACAGGAAAATAAAGAGGGAAGTTTACCAGAGTAACCCGTAAAACACACCATTTAATTAGAGAGCGAGGCCTGCGATTGGCGAGCGTGAGAATAGAACAAGAGGATACAGATCTAGAGTTGTAAATGGAGCAATTTCAGGACAGAAACCAGGAAGTTATTCTTTACTCAGAGGGTAATTAACAACTGGCGTAGGTTACCAGGAAAAGTGGTTTCATGGTAACCTGTTTGAGGCCAGGAATCTACCAGACTCTTTAATAAGCAGCTCGATGCAGTGTTTGGGGGATGGTAGACTGGGTTTTCTCCAGAGATGAAATTGGATGTGCCGAAGGGTCTTTTTTTATCTGATCGATCCTATGATTTCTTGTTGATTCCCTCTCGTCCCTTCTCTGTGTAAATCACTGATCGCTCTCTCTCCCTCTCTCCAGCAACCTGCAGAACATGGATTCCAAATCGGAGTATGTCAAGGTAAGTGGTATTTGGAGCGGGCATTGGGTATAGTGTGTGAGCCCAGCCACTCTCTGCAGTCTCCGAGTGAAGACATCTGCTTTTCCTTTGACACTGGGAAGAAGGGAAGGTATTTGTACGAGTTTCCCAGAGAGGTGAAGATATGGGAGTGTGTGAAAAGATTGGGACACAGCGGAGATGATTGGAGCACTCTATCCGCCGCTCATACACAGGACAGCAGGAGACCCTCTGTTGCCCTGTGTGAGAGTGGTCCAATGCCAAGGTGACTGGCATTCTCTTAAAAGGGCAACCCACGCTGGTACCCCACAGTAAGTGCCAAACACAGCTCGTCCTCGGTTTCCCCACACCCAGCCCCATACCCAGCCCCACCCCTGGCTCCTCCTCCTCATGGTTGGATGGAAAGTCAATTAAAAACAACACATTTTTCTCCAGAAAAAACACCTGGTCCCACCGCGTCCACACTCCGCTTTGCATTGAGGATGTTTTTTCTACCATCAGGTGGTCAGCCTTCAGGCCAAAACCTGCATCACCCAATAAGTGCTCTGAGACGTCCTCTTGACACGAAGGATGCTGTATAAATGTAAATTGTATTAGACTGCCCGCTGGAGGCACTCAACTGACACTGTGTCTCACCTGTCCTCACTCGGTGTGATGGTCAGGGCGTCTCTGGGCGGAGAACCTACTGCCGTTTGTGGCCTGACAGAGCTGACAGCAATCTAACGGCAGACACTAGGGGTCACTAGTACCTCATCTGTGCCAGCTGGGGTGGGGGTGGAGACTGACAAGCGGGCGGGCGGGTGGCATTTCATTAGATTGAGCACGACTGTGGTTCCCGAGTTGCCGGTATTGGAGATTAGGCACACGGCAAGAATGAGTCACAGTGTTTTAGGAAGGAAGGTGTACGTGTGTGGGGGAGGACGGGAGCGTGACAAAGATAGCTCTGGGGTCTCCTCAACACATTCTCTCCCTCTCTGTTATTTTAATATCCTTTGTCCTCAGCATCGAAAGACTCTGCATTCTCTGATCGCTTCCCCTTTAAATGAGCAGAGCTGCTGAGCATCTCATCGCAGGGGGGAGGTTGGTGGGTGGGTGGTGGGTGGGTGGGTGTGGCGGGGGGTCTTTTGTTCCGCTGGATCAGCTTTTGATGTTGTGCAGACGGAACATGCTGAATAAACTGGAAAGAGAGAAAGAGAGCGCCGCGTTAACCTTGGCACAGTCGGAGTGAGGATCACCGCTGCTGAAATCTAACTCTCCCCAGCTTCCCATCCAGCCCTCGCTGCCTCTGCAGATACAATAATAATAATAATAATAATAATAACAATAACCCTTGCATTTGATATAGCGCCTTATCAAGTCGTTGAGACGTCCCCCAAAGCGCTTCTCAAAGAATATACTGTAAGGTGGAGTGACTGTGTCTTTTGTAGGCGAGACCCGGCAGACAATTACACACAGCAATGTCTCACAAACCAAATTGGTGAGTGACCAATTTTCTCTGGGGGGGGGGGGGGGGGGGGGGGGGGATTGTTGGCCAGGACACCGGGAGAGAGTTGATTTTAGATTATATTTTTTAGTAAAGCTTCTTTATTTTTTTTTAATTCCACTTGAATTTTCTGCCTTGTCTCCTGACACGGGCCACACATACTGTGCGTGGTCTTAAGGCTGAAGATGGAAACACACAACAATGCAGAATATATTAAATTCAGTCTTAATCTGGAAGCTTTTACTGAGAACTGCGGCAACCTGGCTCCCAAATTACAACCGAATTGAAGATAACGCTTCACTATTCTGTTCCTATCTTTAATTTTAAGGCAAGCGTTCTCGCAGCTGCGATTAGGTGAAATTTCAGGCTTTGCGGTATCAATCTGTACAATAACACTTGTATTTGACACAGCACCGATTCGAAACACCCACAAAACAGTCACTACACTTTACAGTATATTCTTTGAGATGTCCCAACCACGTGAAAAGGCACTATATCATATGCAAGCATTATTATTATTATTATTATTATCCACGGAAACAGATGAACGGAAACATTCTTATTTTATTTGGATGAGGGAGGATTGTCAGCCAGTACACCGGGAGAAACTCCCTTCTCCTCTCCAAGAGTGGCGTGTGATCTTTAACCCGAGCAGACAGACAGGAACTCGGTTTAATGTCTCATCCAAAGGATGGCAGCCCCACAAAAATACAGAGCTCCCCTAGAACAGCGCTGGAACGTCAGCATAGACTGGGAGCTCAAAGTCCTGACACAAACTTGAAGCCATGATCTTGTGACCCAGAGGAGAATGTAGATTATCTTTAGGTTGACAGATAATAAGCATGGCTGGGGCACCAAGGTAAACCCTCACCCCCACCCCACCAAACCCTCGCCCCTCACATCTTCAGCCACTACGCCCTGAAACTCTGTAATTCTCTCCTGCAATCCTTACCTCCTCCCTCCCCACCTTCGAGTCCCACCTAAAGACCTTCCTTTTTGACCGTGCTTACGGTCAGCTCCCGTCCTCCCTCTACCCCGGGCTCGGGGTCAGACTCCGCCACTGTGAAGCGCTCCGGGATGCTACCCCTCGTGAAGGGGGCTGTATAAATGCAAGTTGTTGTCTTTCCAGGGGGGAATAGTCTATGGATTGTGACAAGCAGTGGGAACCTTGACCGATTTCTCTCTCACTCGAATGAATTCTGATGGTCCAAATGCTGACCCGACTCAGATCAGTAAATTCAAAAGAAACGAGAACAGTGAGGATTATATTTGTGATTGTTACCAGTGTGGAATGGGTTGAGAGGACAGCGCTTTAAAGAGAAGAATTTAGACGTGTGGTAGGATTGGACCACTGTAATAGCATATCTACTATACTGTGTGTATCATCGCATACACTGCATATACCAACTATACTATACGAGTCCCTGATAGGATTCAAAGCCTATAACATTCAAATGGTTCCAAGTACTTCACAGGCAATTGCTGTCAAGTGTAGTGACTGTGCAGTTTGTGCAGCAGTCTATTGCACACAGCAAAGGCGCGCGAACACTCATGAAGGAAATAAGCCATTTACGTGGGGTAAATTGTTGGCCCGGACACCACCACTTTTCTCAAGTGTTGTCCAACAACAGCGACGACAACAGCAGCAAAATGACATTGTATAATGTGTCATAGCGTGAGGAAACCGATACCCGGCTCGTGTCAGCGACCAGCCAGCGAGAATGCGCTGAATATCGTCAATCCCCTTTAATGCTGTGTGCGTGAGCGCGCGTGTGTGTGTGTGTGTGGGGGGGGGGGGTGAGTGAATGTGTGTGACAATAAAATTGCTTCGATCAGCTTCTACCCTGTTGAGGAATGGACTGTTCCTCTGATGTTTGTGAGCTGAATGTCATCCAGGCTTTCTCCGCATGACATCATCTCATTGGATCTGCTCATATCGGAATGGGGTGGGTGGGTGATGGGGGAAGGAGGGAGGGTAGGGGGTGTCATTTGCAATAACATTTAAAGGCAGTCTGTCATTGTTTGGAACGTGTCGCCGTTAAATGCCCCCCAAAAACGCTCAGAAAGTAATTTATAACTGCAGCGTCAGTGGATTCCTTATAACTGCTGCATCAGTTACGCTCTGTGTTCTGAACAATTTAGGATTTTCACGATAGCGGTTCCTATCCCCTGATTGTGTTGTCCTCGGTCCCGTCTGCCTTGTGATTCAGGCGGGTGTAAAGCTCCTTCCCCGCCTTCGCTGAGTCTTTCTCCTGCTCCTCGTCCCTCAAACTCATCCCCAAATTTTGCACCACCCACTCTGGGCTGAGATCGGTCACTCAGCACAGAGCGGAGGATTGTCCCGAAACCCTCTGGGACGCCACCCTGCGTGAAGGGCGCTGTATAAATGCACGTTGTTGTTGTTGGATGGAATCAGAGACCTTGGCCACTCTGTGATGACTCGGCCCACGTGAGACACTAGTGTTACCCAAATGACCCATATTGGGGGGGTGGCGGTGGGGTGATGGGGTGAGGGCTGGGGTTGGCGGGAGTGAATGAGTGAGTGAGCGAGGGGTGGGGGTTGGGGGGGGGGGGTGGGATGTCTCTTGGAAAGCGAGTTAAGACTTTGGTTCAGTTAAAAGACATAAACCCGGTTGCTTTTGTTCCAGCGGCTCTGGCTGCCCAGCGAGGGGAGGGGAGGGGAGGGGAGGGGAGCCTGTGCGTTGCTTGCACTGAGCTAACGCTGGTTTCTTCTCGCATTAATTACCGGGCTGGAGACTGCTCACTAATGACACTGCCCATCACCGCCGCCCCCTCCACCCCAAACTGCACCGCTGGCTACACAGCTGCTCGTTCTGGAGAGTGGATGGGGGGTGGTGGGGGAGCGAGGAAGGGAGGCTAGCGGAGGGGGTTACACCCCCCGCCCCACATCCCATCCCATCAAAGTGAGACTGCAAGTCCCCACCTCCTGTATTTCACTGGGGGGGGGGGGGGGGTGGGGAGGTTTCTGTCAGTCAGAGATTCTCTGTCAAAGTCATTGATTGATTAGAGGAGTGGGGGGGTGTGTGTGTTGGGATGGGGGGGGTGGTGATGGGGGGGGGGAGGCTGGTGGGTACCAGGAGCATCACGTAGAGCTCTCATGGTCTCAGCTTCAGGACCATTTTATCCTCCAATTGTAAATCGTGCAGAATTTTAGGAAAATTCTTAAATTGTGTGCACAGACGAGAGAGGGAAACAGAGAGGGAGGCAGAGAGGGAGGGAGGGAGGGAGAAAACAAGGGGGGAGAGAGAGAGAGAAAGGGAGAGAAAAGGGGAGAGAAAGAGAGAAGGGGAGAGAGAGAAAATAGAGACACGAGAGAGAAAGAGAGAGAGAGAGAGATTGAGATAGAAAGAGAGAACAGCAAAGAGAGAGAGAGAGAGAGAGACAGAAGAAGAGAGAACGAGGAGGAGAGAGAGAGAGAGAGATAGAAAGAGAGAAAGGAGGGGTGGTGGTGGGGGGGATCTGCACACACACCCACTGTGGCTCTGTCTCTCCAATTGCC